CTCCCAGCAGAGCCTCTTCGGGATCAAGCTAAAGCTCATACAAAATAGGTCAAACATAGTGATGATGTGATCACCTCTCAAAGTATTATGCTAGGAGCTATGACATTGAAGCTTAAGCGGTAGCATAAAAGCACAAACGCATTTGATATCATAGTAAAGCTTAAGAGCTTATTTGAGAAGAATACTAGGCATAAGTGCTATGAGATAGCAAAAAAGCTTTTTAGAGCTAGAATGGATGAAGGATCCAATATTGAAAAACATGTTATTGAGATGATAAGCTATATTGATAGGCTAGTCGAGCTTCAAGTTAAAATGGATGCAAAATTATTTATTGAACTAGTATTGTAATTGTTGTTTAACAACTTTGGACGATTCATCATGAACTTTAACATGATGCATATGGAAAAGACTCTTGAAGAGTTGTTATCCATGCTAAGGGAAGCTTAACTCGAGATTAACAAGAAGAACAAGAGTTCTATACTTTTTATTAACAAAGGGAATGGTGTGGTGAAAGGCAAGAAAAATCCCAAGACCTAAAAGGAAAAAATTTTACCGAGCCTATTAAAGGAGTGAAAAAGCCCGAGGCTCGGAATAGCCTCAAGAATACGATTTACTTTCATTGTAAAAAAAGGCATTAGAAGCGTAATCGCAAATAGTACCTTGAAGAGGTGAAAAAGAAAAGTTCTACAACCATTTCGGATATTGATGTTATTAAAGCTAATTTTTATATTTCTAATCCCGCCTCATGGATATATGATACTACATGTGGTGCTCATATTTTAGTAATTTGCAGGAGCTTAGAAAGAGAAAGAAGACAATTTCAAGAGAGAATGACCTACACGACAACGAATAAATCAAAAGTTGGACCAATAGTTGTAGATACTTATGAGTTAGCACTACCATATGTGTTTGTGCTTTGAAACTCAATAAGCTATTATTTTATTCCTACTGTAGATTATGAATATTATTTTTATTTCTTATTTGAAATATTTTTTTATTTTATTTAAGAATAATGATTGTTCTTTTAAGGATGAATTATTATATGAAAATGTTTTGATAATAGTTTATGTGTTTTGAACATAATGAAACTCTTATATATATAACATAAATGCTAGAAGACTCAAATGATTTAAATAAATAAATATTTACAACATTGTCAAACTTGGCCATATAAACAAGAATTGTATATCCAAACTAATTATAAATGGATACATATAATCATTCGATGATGTCTATGAATCTTGTTTACTTAACAAAATTACACGGATCCCCTTTTAGTAGAAAAAGAGAAATAGATACTCGATTTAATTTGACCTTACACATTGAGATGTATTTAGGCCTACATTCACCAATGCAAGAAGAGGACATGATTATTTCATAACCTTTATCATGTTTTAATTATGTATGAAACACAAGTTTAAAGCATTTGAAAGGTTCAAAGAATTTAGATTTAAAGTCAATAAGTAAACTGACAAGAATATTAAGGCATTTCAATCAAATTAAGGGGATGGATACTTAAGCAATAAATTTTATATCATCTAAAAGAGAATAAGATTTTCTATTAATGGACAACACACGTTAGACATGATTCGATCCATGATAAGTTGAATTATATTCCCATTTTCATTTTAAGATATGTATTCCTTACTACAATCTTTATTTTAAACAAGGTTTCAATAAAGTCTTTAAATCGGACTCCATATGAGATATGAAAAGAAAAAAATGAATTTATCTTTCCTCAAGATTTGAGGCTAGAAAGCGTATGCCAAATGTTTGACAAAGACAAGCTAGAGCCTAAATCAACGAAGTGTAAATTTATAGGATATCCAAAAGAAACAAATGGATATTATTTTTCTACCATTAGAATAAAGTGTTGTTTATGACTAGGCATGTTATATTCCTTGAGAAGGAATTTATAGATACTAGAGATAATGGGAGGAAAGTTGAACTCAATAAGATTCGAGTACACTCATAAATTGACACTCCATTAGTGGAACCCTAAGTAGATAGGTTACAAAGCATTATAACTATCCCATAAATTGATAAACAAGAACTTCATAGCTTTAAACAAGTTCATTTAGAGTCAAAAGATATGATCTTCTTATCTTAACACGTGATGATGTGTACTCTATCGAGAATGATGAAGCTAATACCTATGAACTAGCAATGTTAGACATTGACTCCTAAAAATGAAAATTGAATAAGGATGTGTAGATGATATACTTTAATGGTTCTATCACTAAAGAACATGTAAATAAGATTTATAAATTACAAATGTCCATTTATAGAGTTAAATATACTTTTAGGAATTAGAATTGATGTTTTGATGAAATGATTAAAGAGTTTTATTTTTCACAAAAAAACATAGACGAATCTTGTGTATGCAAAAGTTATTAAGAGCCTATTAGTCTTGATTATTCTATATGAAAATAAAAAAATTAATTCTCGACTATAATATTATCATGTTGTAATATATCAATGATTAGGTATTTAAGAATTTCTCTATATATGACATGGAAGAACATCCTATATTCTAAGAGTTAAGATCTATAGAAATAGATCACATAGAATGCGAGGGCTCTCCCAAGACAGTACATTGACATGATACTAAAAGCATTTAGTATGTAAGAATAAAAGAAAAGAATTATTCCAACATCACATGGTTTGATGGCCAATTACATAGGATCCATAGTGTAAGCTAAGGAACTAAGGTCTCATCAATGGTCCAAGTATGTACTGTGACACTACCACATGATTAGAAAGATTATCGATCATTGTGATATAAGGATAGAAAAGGTTCACACCGAGGATAACATAATTTGCCATTTGACTAAACCTTTGTCACAGCTAAAACATGAGACCTTTGCTCGATCATCCGGCATAAGGAATATGGTCGGTTAGGTCGTAGTGTAAATGAAAGATTGTTAGTGTAGATGCCCAAGATCCAACCTTGTTTGGATGATTTGACTTATTATAATATTATATTCTTTATTTTATTAATAATTTTTTTTCTATCAATTATTGTCATTTATATTTTGATAAAATTAGATAGAAATCCATATGATATGCATTACATTAATGATTGATCAAAAGATATGAGATAAATATTAATAAACTTAAATGATATCATTAAATGTTCAAAGTCATAGTATTGTCAAGAATGGACATTGACTACATGCGATAAGACTTGTGAGTGCTATGCTCATGCTATAAGATACTAGTAGGAGATCTCACACCTATTGACATAACGATGCCAAAACAAGCACTTAGATTATAAATGTTAGAGAACATATCGCATGATGTGACTCGTCATGAGAACTCATTTAGTTTAGTTTATGAGAATTTTATACGAGATACGTACAATCGGTCCTTTGATTTGAAGTCATCATGATTATCTAATTAGAGAATTTATGTACTTTAACACTCGTTCCATTAGGCTTAGTCAAGAGTTGTACGTGGATGATTCGTTGGGTGCACTAGAAATCTAATGGAGACGGATGGATGACTAAGATAGGACATGTAATTTCTTGTATGTTAAAGGAGTTATCACATTGTACTTCGATAAAAATTTGCTTAAGGAATTTGTGGCCACGGTAGAAGTATACAAATAAAGCATAGTTGGTTTACTCTAGAGCTAAGACATTTGGGAATCAAAGAAAACCTATGTGATCGTAATTGAATAGACTATAAACCAAGTTCGAGATCACGTTGTGATAAACACGAGGATCGAATCATTTGGTAACCATGCTTGGTGAAAGGTAATTGTGGATTAATTAATCTTCTTAAAGAATTAAGTAGTCATGATGCCTTGTTAGAGGTCAATTTTGATTTATATATCAAGAGATAAAAGATTTTATTCTTGATACATTATTAACATATCTACAAGCCTATTGAGTCTCACGCATAAGTCTAAGTATTCATATAATAAAAAGAGAAGCAAAGATTTTGAAAAAAGTTTTCAAAAATGAAAAGTTTTCTATTTTGAAAAAAGTTTCCTAAAATAAAAAATTTTCTATTTTAAAAATAAGTTTTCTAATTTAGAAATTAGTTCCAAATTTGGAAGTAAATAACCTAAAAAGAAATTAGTTTCTTGACTTAGATTTAAGAGTAATTTGAATTTTTTTTTCCTAATGTGAGCTTTCTAAAAATATCCGAGCCCATTTATTTGGATAGTCCAAATTAATTAGGCAAAAAAAGTTTGGGTCAATAGGCTTAATTTTAAAAATCTACAAGATATTTTGATGGAAGAATAAACGTGAGTCCTATTGGATAATGCTCGGGGTTTACAAGGATAGTATCAAACAAGCTCACCTACATTGCAACTTATTGTTCTAGGAGGACAAGAATGCTGTCCCTATATAAATAATAGAGAGGGTGGCAAAGTGAGAGGATTACCATACATACCGCAAAAAGTGAAAGAAAAAGAGAGAAACTATTTCTCTTCCAAAAGCCGGAGTTATCATATCTCTTCTAAGGATTGGAGCTAGCACTTCGTTATAATTTTTTTGACGTAAAATATCGATAGAAGCTGGACACATAGACGATTTTTTTTCTACAAATGCTAAATCTATTTAACAAGAGATATTCTTTTACTCATATTTTTAATTCATATATATATATATATAATTAGTTGATTCAATTACTTGATTTTGAGAATCTTTGACGGAAAAAACTTTTTTTTATTTCGTATTTTCATAAAATGTATCATCCTTCACTTACTTATCAGTACATAACATCAGTCAGCATCAGCCACTGGCCTAGAGCTTGCGCGCACCTAGCCTTGAGCTGGCCACTGACCAGTGCCTAACACTGGCCTTGGCAGGCCCGTTGGCCATTGCCCAGACCTGGCCTACGTGCTCGCCTGGCTGGCAACTGGTGTACTCTTGCGCGCCTGCTCTCTTGCCTTAGGCGCGCAGATGCCCATTGAAAGTTGTGGAGCCTTATCTATTCGCCTTGAAATTCCATTCCTCTTCTTTCAGTTCTCTTTCTCATTCAAAAAAATGAAACCTCACATATTAGTGACAAATAGTCTCCCTTTACCATCTCTAAATCTTCCGTTACGAACAAGAAAGTCTCTACCTCTCGCATTTCTCAACGTAAACACTTCTATTCACTCTAACCTCCTTCACTTCCCTGGATTTCAAAATCCTAATTTCAAGGTTGTTTTTCTTTCGACCATTTTCTCCAACTCCAAACACTAAAGTTTTTTTCTTACTCAATCAGTGTTTCTTTGTTGGTTAGGTTGTTGAAGCGGTGAGATTTGACGGTCCGGTAACGGACCTTACTGAATTCGAAGATGAGGATTATGAGTTGATAATCGAGACTGTCATTACGCATACATTGCCTCCGGCGTTGACGCTGGAGCGAGGGATAGAAAGTATTAAGGCGGCTGTGGATGATTTGAAGTCGAATCCTCCGTCTTCTCCTCACGGAGTTTTCAGATTTCAGGTATAAAACTATAGTTAATCTTTATTATTTACTTCAGTTTAAATAAGTTAGATTTTTTCTATTTGACTATGGCTATTTAGGTTGCGGTGCCTCCGAGTCCAAAAGCTTTGAATTGGTTCTACTCGCTACCTGAGTCGGATGGTGTGTTTCCTCGGTTTTTTCTATCTAAGGAGACAGAGGACGCGTCGTATAAATCACTCTATTTGCATAGAACTCGTGGAGCTTTCGGGATTGGAGCAGCAATTTTCTTTCAACGCTCCTCTTCCTCTTCCCTAGAAAAGCAGAGGAGGATCAGAAGGTTAATCTCCTTTTTTGCTATTCGTAACTTCTTTTTGATATGGGAATGCGTCTACTGAACTCATACATTTTGCATTTTGACGATAATTGCTTTTTGTATGTTATATATTTAATATGAAGTAATAAGACAAAAATATTGTACCTAAGGAGTTGGTTTAGCGTCCATTGGGGATAGGGTGCAGGCATATGATCCTCCCTGTAGAAATAGGTATTTAGTTGGTCTATGTTGAATGGCACTTGAGGAAAAGGAGAGGGTTAATATGGATCTGGAATAAAATACTGCTAAACTCTATATTATTCATACTTTATGCTAGAACTTTTTTTTTTCTATTTTTTATTTTTTAACTCACACACCCAAGGCTCCTAACAGAACTAGTCTGTTAGGATTTGAACCCATGACCCCTTGTTATAAGAGACCACTACTTTATGCTAGAACTTAAGAAGTCACTTTCAAGAAGATCTTTAAGCACATATACTTTGTGTGCAGATATCTCTCAAGTGATTCAGCCCATATAATGACTTACGGTTTTATGGATATTAATTTCAACAAGGAGTCACCTTCAATTAAGCCTGAGGCTGGTTCCTTTTACTTCCTAATTCCTGAGGTATACTAGCATTCTTTCGCATGTCTGTTTGAGTGATGTTGCACCTTTTTCTGTAAATTTTCTCTTATATCCAGTTAAGAGCAGCAATAGACAGATACTTGTATCTTCAACAGGTTGAATTAGATGAGCAAGATGAAGCATCTATTCTTGTCGTAACATTGGCGTGGGATGAAAATTTCTGCTGTACTTTTGAACAAGCAATTCAATCTTTTGAGTCATCCATTTGCCAGGTATTCTGTTTGCCAATATCTGGATATGCCGGTGTTATAGCTTGTAGTTTCTTATGTTGGTACATGTACCACATCTTGGTGCAACTTGAAGAATTTGAGGAGATCCTAACAGGATAATATTAGCTGACAACTAAATCATGCTTTTGCGGTTGGACATTTATGATTGAGTTGATTTTCTCAATTTGCTTAAAGTTGAAGTGCTGGCTTTGGTATTGTGAAAGAAATTTAGTTTAATGTTTTTGTTCTAAATGTGGTTATTTGTCAAGTAGCTTTTCAGAATCATCTTGCTTGATTCAGTCGCACAGTTATCCACCACTATCAAATGTCTAAATTAAACCCCTATGAATTTCTGAATCTTCAAACTTTCATGTCAGGACCTTGTGTGTGTATGGATATTTGTTAATTTATTCATTATATACACGATACTTGCTGGTATGTTCTGTAGTTGCATTCAACCTCTTTCGTTCTAAGTGTGAATCATATTGAAACCTGATCTGGAGTAATGTGATCTCTTACAGCTGGAGTGTTTTCCCCCTTTGAATTTTCTTCCTACTATGATCTGTACCCATGCATTTTTGTTTTCTTTTCAGGCCAGTTCTTATTTTTGGCCAAACACAGAGAGATGCCATTCCCATTGCATAAAATCTGCTTTCAGAAAGTTCAGTTCGATGGAGGGTAAAACATTCCATATGGTACACATTCCACATTGTTATTGAAGTTATACGATATAGTGATTGCTTTCCTTGTTTAATGTTAGTAGTGAAGCTTTTTCGCTTTTAATTTATGATTGTTTATTTGTTATTTGATTTTGAAATTGGACTATGTCATGCTCATCCAGGTAAATGAAGAAAATATCTTTTAGATTCTAAATATGCAATCTTAGAGTTCTCAATAGGATTTGCAAAGCCGATGACTGATTTTATTATTGATTTAAAGATATGAACACTTTATGGTGCTGCAACCCTTATATGAAAACAAAGACCTAACTAAAGTCTGTAATATAATAACTGACCTAAAATGGTGTAAATAAAAAAACTTGAACAATTAAGAAAAGTGCCACAGTGATTAAATAATGTTATAACATGTTTCCTTGCATCAGTTATCCTTGGCTACAATATTTGTCCTCAAGTTTGGATGTTGGTTGTACTCTTCTTTTCATCTTTATGCATGGATGTATCTTTAAATCTAAATAAACAATTTTGTGCTTTTCAGCTTTTCAGCTTTTTTGCTATGATATCCATACAATGGCCTGATGAAGTCTATTGTTTTAATCTATAACAATCTTCCTCCTCTGTTTCTATTAAGAAAAAAAACAAGTTTATCGGCTGAAAAAAGTTGTGATGATGGCAGGGTAGTTTGTACTCACTTTCTACAATGTATACACATAGTCTATTAGTAGATTCTCTAAAGTCGCCTTCTATAAGTTTTATTTTAGTCTCGACCCACATCTAATCTGCTCCATCGTACCATAAATTACCTCAGTCTAGTTTCATCTATTGGTATTTTATTTTCTGCAAATAGCTAGCACCTATATATACACGCACACACCCACACATAGATGCAAAGGTTGAACTTGAAGTTAAACCTTGGTGCAAACCAATTTTAATCGGAAAATTGCTACTCTCACCCTCAGTCGTCCAACCTAGTTACTATGCATTCTTTCATCTCTTGGATCACATATATCCCATTACTTTCTGACACTCACTACAAAACTTCCCTTCTAATCATGTTGTATTCTTTCTTTAAATCTGAAAAAAATAATATGGAGATCTTTCCTCTTTTCTCCATTTTGTCACTACATTATTGGGTGGGGCAAACAGCATCCAGAAGTTGATACTTCATTCACAAAACCAAATGGATCGTTTGATTTCCTACTTCTGTGTTTTAATGTGATGTTAATCATCACACATACATCTAATTCTGGAGGTTTCATAACCTTAAACAATTGAATTGTGAAGTCAGACATTTCTGCCTTTTCTCTTTCAGTAATTCAGCGGTATGGTTTTGCAGGCTTGTGCAAATGCTCTGTTGTTGGACAGAAGGGATTATCAAACCCACATCTCGGAACTGGTATCCCCTTTTTCCTGGTAATTGTTCATCCCTTCATTATATCTTGATCTCAAATTTGTTTATTTAGTATCATGCTTGATTTATTTTACTCAAGCGGATACATTTACCCAATTGAGTTTGTGAATTTTGATGGTCATTATCTGAAATTCTTATATGTCCTAATTTTCATTGCAGGGAAAGACCAAATTTTCCACTCAGTTCTGTTTTAGGCTTTCACCAATTGTAGGCGTTTCCAGTAACATGGTATGTTGCTATTATGTCAGCTACTTTAAAAATTATTTGCTCTTGAACTTGTTTGCCACACTGGAAATATTTAGAGTGAGAAAAAGATGTTCGGACGAGTTTCTTATCTGAGATTCAATAGGATTTAAATGGTCACTTATTTTGCTATTTTGTGTGTGTGTGTGCGTGCGTGCGTGTGTATGTTTTGGAGGGTTCGCGTTCTGCTTTTTGTACTCTTAATAACAGAACATAGAGCACTTTCTGAAGGCCTCTTGTGAATGTGCAGGACAGGAAATTTCTTAGTTTCTTTGTCTAAATGCAGAACTACTAGTTACTTTCTTTAGCTAGTTAGTTGGAAAATCGTCAATCTGGTGTAGTATGCCATGCATGCATATTCTGAGTGTTGTTAGAATAGAAGTCATGAGTAAATATTGGACAATATATGACATGATAAGCATTGAAAGGGAATTTCAGACTTGAGAGTTTTTTGGTGCTTCTTGGCTATAAAGTTCTACAACTTTACCCATTCAGAAACAAAGAGAATTCAGTTCATTCTAAAAAAACAGAAAGAAAAGGGAAAAAAAGAACAATTTAGTTGAAAATTAAACATATATTTGGTTTGGCCTTAGCTAGTTGGTAAATTGTCAACCTAGTGTAGCAGTATGTCATGCAAAGTGTGTAGAAAGAAAAAAACCTTGAGTAAATATTCGACAATATATGGCATGATAAACATTAAAAGAGAATTTCAAAATTTGGAAGTCTTTTGGTGCTTCTTGGGCATAAAGTTCTACTACACCTTTATACAAAAACAAAGACAATTTAGTTCATTATCAAAAAAAAAAAAAAAAAGGCGATAGGCAATTTAGTCCAAAATCAAACATTTGTTTGGATCCAGTTGAATGCATAAATTGATGTACATACCTGATAAAATTCAATAATGTGCTATATATATATCAGAGCATATTGAAAGATATTTAGAAAGAACAAAGTTGGGTGATGATTGTTCAAGGTATATATGTCTCTTTTGACTATCAGTTAGATGATGCCGGTGAAACTAGTTACTCTCCGCAAGATCGTGCGAACATCAATTCAGTTTGGGCTTCACTTATAGTAGAAGAATGTTCTCGTCTCGGTATAATGGTGAGCAAGAATTTATCATAAGTTGAATTTCTATTTTGTTCCATATGTCTGATTAATACTTTCTTTCAGTACTTTTGTGTAGCCCCAGGGTCAAGATCATCACCTCTTGCCATTGCTGCTTCCACTCATCCCCTAACAACATGTATTTCATGCTTTGATGAGCGCTCTCTTGCATTTCATGCTGTTGGTTATGCAAGGGGGTCTAATAAACCTGCAGTCATCATAACAACATCAGGCACTGCGGTTTCAAATCTTCTCCCTGCTGTAAGTTTCATAGAATAAGTATAGTATCAAAAGCTTAATTTGTTGGCTGCAAAGAACATTTCACACTCCAGTGATTTTGTGCTTATTTACTCATTTTCCTAATATGCATAAAGTACTTGTTAATTCCATATCATCTTTTAGGCTGGCTCAACTTTACAAGCTTGCGGTGATATACAGCTTCATGAGCTATCATTTCCAGTGTATTTTTACCTAAGATTTTTAAATATTCATCTCATTTTTTTTTTTTTTTTGTGATGCACGAGATTAATTTTGACTAGCAACAACTACAGGTTGTGGAAGCTAGTCAGGATTTTGTGCCACTTCTATTGCTGACTGCAGACCGTCCTCCTGAGCTTCTGGATGCTGGGGCAAACCAAGCAATTAATCAGGTATACATTAATGAATTTTTTTATCCAAATTTGTAATTCGCAACAGATCTTTCTTTTAATTACTTTTTTTTTTAGTTGAAAAACTCATGCAGCACATTATTGAAACGTATTTCAGGTGAACCTTTTTGGTTCTTTTGTGAGGTTCTTCTTCAGTCTTCCTTCACCTACTGATAATATTCCTGCTCGGATGGTACTTACAACAATTGACTCAGCTGTTCATTGGGCAACCTCTTTGCCATATGGCCCTGTGCATATTAACTGCCCTTTCAGAGAACCTCTGGATGATCGTTCAGACAACTGGATGTTAAGCTGTTTAAAAGGATTAGATGTTTGGATGTCTGGTGCAGAACCATTCACTAAATACATTCAATTGCAAAATTCTCTTGCATGTAAGGATGGTGCTTGTGTCCCAATGGCAGAGGTTCTTGAAATAATTAAAAGGACTGATAGAGGGCTTTTATTTCTTGGTGCAATTCGAACAGAAGATGAAATATGGGCAGCTCTTCTCTTGGCTAAACACCTTAATTGGCCTGTTGTACCTGACATCTTATCAGGTCTAAGATTAAGAAAGCTCCTGCCTTCTCTTCCTGAAATTGAAGAGAATGTTTTATTCATTGATCATCTAGACCATGCTCTACTGTCAGAATGGGTCAGGAGTTGGATTCGCTTTGATGTGATTGTTCAGGTATAAATGAATTGGTTAATTTTATTTTTATTAATTCTACTGCATGTGATTTTATTTTAAATTACTTAGAAGTTCAAAATATCTTAAACGAAGTTGCTTACAGAGATGAAGGCAGGCCAAATTTGAGTGCTAAATTTTCTGCATCTGATTTTAATTCAAATTACTTAATAGTCTGAGACATCTCAAGTGATGTTGAACACAAACATGATGACAGTCCAAATTTGAGTACTACTTGCATGTCTGAAATATTTAAAAATTAATGTTTGGCATATGAAATTTCTTCAGGGTTCATGTTTTGCAGTTGAAGAAATTTGAACATTAAATTCCTTGGTTATCTGTTACATTTTTTTTTTTTGGGATAGTTTAGCTCCTATGCTTGCAAAAGTTGCAACATGGGCTATTCACTGTTGGTTCTGTGGTCGAACTTCTTTTGACAGTTATGGATCATGTGGTTGTTAAAGAAGAGGAAGGCATATGGAAAATGTCAACTTGCATGGAAATGTAATCTTTAAAAACAAAGCAGAAAGTTAATTACAAATTATGCCGTGCTTTTGAAAATAGTTTTGCACTAGACCAAGTCACAACATACAAGGAAGAAGGAACTTGAGTATTATGCATGAAAAAAGATGTAAAATTCTGAGAAAGGCCTGCACGGCATAGGAAAGTACTCCCAGATAAAATTTATGATGAAAGAGCTGGCAAGACATGAGTACATGATTTTACTTAGAAATTCACAATTTTGCATGTCTATATCATGCCACAGTTGCCTGAGCATCCTTTTTCTTTCGAGAAATGGAAGAAAAAGTTTTGGAAGCTTGAATGGAATTAAAGGTCATATAATTACGATTATTACATATCTTTGATAAAGGAAAAAGACTATTATGCATATTTATAACAAAAACTGTACCCTTTTTTGACGTATGCTGTATATGCTAATTCCATGAAAAGTTTATGTATTTTTATTCATTGATTGGATCTTCTTGTTCTGAATTATAAACAGATTGGAAGCCGGATAACAAGCAAGCGTATTAGTTGGATGCTGGAAGAATATTTTCCATGCACATATATCTTAGTTGACGACCACCCGTGTCGTCATGATCCATCTCATTCTGTATCACACAGAGTGCAATGCTCCATTCTTCAATTTGCTGACAGCTTAATGAAAGCTCAATTTTCACACAGGAGAAGCAAATGGTGGTGTTATCTACAAACCTTGAATGCAATGGTATTTGACTAACCTTATGATGCTCTTTTGCTTTTTAAACTTTCTTGTGATTTTAGTCTTCTCTACTGTTTGATGAAGATGTGATTGATGCCATTGTCAACATAAGCAAATAATCTGGTTAACATGTTTCATATGGAAGCATCCCATGTTTTATTTATTTTATTATGTTTGTATGTATATTTCTTAAGTTTTTGTCTTTCCTCTTGCAGGTTGCCTGGGATATATCATTTCAAATTAATGCAGAGAACTCATTAACTGAGCCTCATGTTGCACATGTAATTACAGAAGCTCTTTCAGCTGAGTCTGCTCTTTTTGTTGGTAACAGCATGGTAATACGCGATGCGGACATGTATGGATGCAATTATAAAACTCATGGCCATAGTATTGAAGATATGATGTTAGACTCAGAACTTTCATGTCTTGGGATAAGAGTGGCTGGAAACAGGGGAGCTAGTGGTATTGATGGTTTGCTTAGCACAGCAATTGGTTTTGCTGTTGGATGCAATAAACAAGTTAGTGTTTAAAAACTGTTTTCATTTTCAGTAATAGTGTGTGCTTTAACTCATTCAGTTATTGAGTTCAACTATGTATTCCTTCTCATCCAATTAGTTGATATATTTGTCTGCACTGTTTTATTTTTTTAATTTTCATGAACTTACATCCGTTCATACTGTGCTAATCATTTGTAGGTGCTTTGTTTGGTTGGAGATGTTTCTATGCTTCATGATACTAATGGCTTGGCCATTTTGAATAAGAGGTTCAAAATATACTTTTGTTTTGTGGATTTGTGTGATTTTGTTGTGGTCTTTTGTTGAGATTTATTGATATTGTAAAAAGAGTGATAATTTTTGAAGTCCCTAAGGTCGCAATGCACAGCTAATGTCAATCACCTTGCTTTCAAAAGACCAAAAGCAGCACCTGGTCCTTGTGTGACGTGTGTGAGACATGATAAACTGTGGAGGGACTAAAGTTCTATTCCTTTACAATATCTCATGAACTATTCTGTTGGTTTAAAAGGACTGTAGTCACAATTTAATCAAACTAGAACCTTAGGAACTTCCATTGCTCTTTCATGTACAGGTGTCCTCATATATTTAACACTAGTTGCATGGTTTCTTTCTCAAAGTAGTCTTATGATATACCTAACATGACATTAACGATCTTTTGAATATCTATTTTATAAGAAGGCACAATATTACATGCAAAATGATCTACATAGCCAAACCCAACTAGTTTTTCAAAGGATTCAACTTTCTGAAGGATGTGAATTTTTATACTAATTTTTGAAAGGGTTGACTGTGTGAAGGATGCCCAGGAAACCAATAAGGATACTTGTGATAAACAATCATGGTGGGGCAATCTTCAGCCTCCTTCCTATTGCAGATAGAACTGACCCTCGAATATTGGATCAGTATTTCTACACCTCCCATAGCATTTCAATTCATAAGCTATGTATGGCACACAGGTAAAAAATCAATCTTTAGCTGGTTGTATTTGAAATATGCTTGTCTGAGTTTGCTCTTGTCATACATATATCATGTGGCTTTATATGTACTCTGAATTTTTACTGGCCTTATTTTGTTGATTATAAGAAATGCCAAGAGATATACTTGATTCATTCTCTTTGAAATAGTGATGGTCATATGGTTCATATGTGACATGAATTGAAGTTCTGAAATAGTTATGGTCATGGCTTAATAATCTCAAATTTATCTGGTTTTGTGACTCAGAAACAAAGCTCTTGCTTCTCTAAGATTACAGGGTATCAAGTATTTGCCTGTTTCTTTATGCATATTGCCAAGTTTATCTCTATATTTTCTCAAATCTGGAAATTAATATGTTGAAATTTTGTTGAATATACCCTTGAAACTGTTTTTTTTTTTTTTTTATCCGATTTAAAATCACTGAATGACATGCAGTGTGAGACATTTGCTAGTGAAGACGAAGGCAGAACTTCAAGAGGCTTTACTTAAATTTGAGCATGAGAAGAAAGATTGTGTTATTGAAGTGGAGAGCTGCATCGAGGCCAATTCTTCCTTCCACTGGTTGATATTTGCTTTGTGACTGTCCTTTTCAGTCAAAGTCAACATCTAAGTACTTGTGCACTCTGCTGACATATGCTTGTTCTTATTTCAGCACTTTAAGAAACTCTGCTCAGCAAGCAGCAGATCATGCTTTAAGCATTCTCTCAAGGCTTTCTGTTCCGGGTTCCATTTCTCATGGGTTATTTCTCTCTAAGATCCATAAAATGGAGTTTTCTCTGTACAGGTTAGGCTTTTGTAAGACGAATAAATTTTGCTAATTGCTTTAACATTATGAACTTTACATTATTAAGCTACGAGTTTCTTTATAAATTTTTGCGACAGAATTCAACTCTGTGCTCCTCCTACCTCAAGCTCCGTTGATCATCATCGTAATGAGTTCCACAGGGAAGGTTATCTTTTATCTGTGTCTCTCGAAGATGGAAGTGTTGGGTATGGTGAGGTTGGTTTTGGATTTAACTTTTTGATCCTTGTTCAACTATATTTTTTACCCCGTTCTTCTCCTCTTTGGCTCCATGTGAAAATCTCTACTTGTGACGATCGCAAGATTGTATTTATGATGTTTGCATATCTTGCTGCTTTGTTGCTATTGTTTACACATTGTTTGGCATTTTCATTAGTCTAATTGAATATATAGTGTATTGTTTAACATCTCATTTCTCTGAGGTCGAATTAGCAGGAGGAATATGAATGATTAGCATATAGTACTTATGTCCAACATTGCTAGAGTTTAGTTGTGCGGAATTGGTGGGTAGTGGCCATTGAAAGATAATGTTGAGCAATATGACCATTTCAATGGTAATAAATATTCAGTCAATGAGCAATTGATTGGGAGTTTCAGGTTTGCTGTCTCCTTGTGACTCAGTTAAGGGGGAATTATTTAATTTGGGGGAATTGTAGTGTATTTCATTTGCTTGAAATTAGAAAACAAACACATTAGAAGATTTCTTTTCCTTGCTGGTAAAAAGGCAACTCAAAGATTTCTACTTATAATATAACTAAGTGGACATGCATGTGGTGTATCCATACATTTAGAGTGATCTCTTTATGATTCATCACATAATTTATAAATGCTATGCATCTCCCTTGTGAAACCTAGTAAACTATGCCACTTCGATTTTTCTTCCTTGAGATTGACATTTGACACCTGGAAGTAGCTCAATTTTCTAGAAACTTGCATATTGTATGTGTGAAAAAATCCAGAGTATAGAAAAATTTTAACAGGAGGAGCGTGCATGTCTAGCTTTCCTTTTTGTTAGGCAGACAGAAAGTTTGAAAACTAAAGTATATCTCAGGCAATGATTGCAAACAATGTCAATACCTCCCCCTTCTCGAATATTATTTTTTGAATTAAATTTTTTCTCAAGTCTCTTGAAATTCATGTAAGTTCCTTTTCCTGTGGTGTTTCTCTTCCTTGAAAGAAATGTTAAATGTAAAAATATTGTCTGTTTTTTTCTGTAACCCGTTCCAAATTTGAGGATTACTTCATCCTTTGTTACTGTCATTGAGCAGGTTGCTCCTCTTGAAATCCACAAAGAAAATCTGGTGGATGTAGAAGAGCAGCTTCGATTTCTTATTCATGCCATTAAAGGAATCAAGATTAATGTTTCCCTTCCTACTTTGAAAGGCTCTTTCACTTCTTGGATATGGAGCAACTTAGGAATTAGGGTAGGTCTATCTATCTCCAGTCTCTATGCGCATTTCTGCATGCCTGGTGCGTCTATAGTCTATAGTATCAAGCAAGCCAGACGGAAAAAGTAGTTATGAGATGTATACAATGCTCTTTCCATGTTGGACTAATGCGCATTTGATCCATTGTTGTTCAGGAATGTTCAATCTTTCCAAGTGTTAGATGTGGTCTTGAAATGGCTGTCTTGAATGCCATAGCAGTAAGTCAAGGTTCCAGTTTTTTAAGTATACTTCAACCTTGCATGATAAATGAAGAAATTTATGAAAGGTCATGTGTTAAGATATGTGCCCTTATTGATTCTGATGGGACTCCTGCTGAGGTTGCTTATATTGCTTCCTCGCTTGTTGAAGAAGGATTCACTGCTATAAAACTCAAAGTAAGTATTGGCGGAACTATTAGAATGCTGTAATAACTAGAAACTTTGTAACATTTCACAAAGCTAATTTTTCTTCATATTATTGTTTGTTATTGGTAACTCAATTTGGATTACCACTAGTTTACAAGCTTAAAATCCTTTCCTAACAGGTTGCACGTCGGGCAGATCCCATTCAAGATGCTGCAGTTATATGCAAAGTGCGAAAGGAGGTTGGTCCATGTGTTGAACTCCGTGTGGATGCCAACAGAAAATGGACCTATGAAGAAGCTATCCAGTTTGGCTTCCTTGTAAAAGATTGTGACCTCCAATATATTGAGGTATAATTTACAGAAACTGGTGAATGATACTGCTCCGTTGCTTCTTTGTCCTGAAGTTCTAGTTCATGGTATTTTGTACACACATTTCTTGCAAACTCTCCGTGCAAACTTTATATAGTCACAATTGACAATTCAACAATATCTTTCTTTCAATATATTCAATTCGGGTCTTAATGGTGCTTATTAACATGTTATCCATGGGGAATATTTGTACTTTTTTTCACTAGTTGTGATACGATATTTATTTATTTCAGGAACCTGTTGAGAATGAAGATGATATTGTGAAGTTTTGTGAAGAAACTGGCTTACCTGCAGCTCTTGATGAAACTATTGACAATTTTCAAGAAAGTCACCTCAATATGCTTGCAAAGTATACTCACACTGGAATAGTTGCTGTGGTGAGTGGTGCTGAGCATGGTTTTAAATAATGGCCGTTACGTTACGTTATATAACAGTAATGGACGTTATTTGTACTCCAATGTTGTTTCACAAGAATAACGGCAAATAACGACATTATTGTTATATAATGACAAATAACGCCATTATATATATATATAATCAAAACTTTGTCCTAATCAATCACTAACCCAAAAGATGTGAAAATAATACGAAAAAAAATAAAGAATAAATGGGACTTACAGAAAAACCTGATAGAGAATCAAAGAGACAAAAAAAGAGTGAATTGAGATATAGAGAGACGAAGAAAGAAGGATGTGAATTAAGGAGGAGTAGAAGAGTAGAGAGAGAAAAAAGGAAGATGTGAAGCAGAGAGGAACGATTAAGAGGGTAGAGAGAGAGACAAAAAAAAAAAAGAAGAAGATATGAAGCAGAGATAAAGAGGAGGAGAGAGTGAGGAGAGAGAGAGAGGAAAGAAAGAAAATGTGAAGTAGAGATAGAGACGATTAGACCAGAGAGAGAGTTGTCTATTGAATGGAAACATATTGATATTCACAATCAAATTCAAAAGTAGGAGTCTGTAGCCTTTAGTTGAATAAAGTATAAATTAGTCTCTTTCGTTTTGAAAAATAATTTAATTTGTTCTTGTTTCAAATAACAATTATTTAGTCGGTTTTTGTTATTTTCTATATTTTTTATTTTAAAAAATAGAAAAAATAAATTTATATCATAAAAAGATTGATGAAAAAAAAAACATTTTATGAAAGAAAATAATATTATATTAAAAATCCTCAATATTCATCAAAACATTAAATTATCTTGTTTTTGAAAAAAAATAAAAACTAATCAATTCATTTATCCAAACTAAAGGGACTAATTTATAACTTACTCAATTAAAGTCCGCATTCGTGCAGATCTTTGATTTTCTGCACGCAACCTGAAATTTGGTTTAATAATAAAGAGTAAATTACACATTAATCTTTTTAGTTTTGATAAATGAATTAATTGCTCTTTCTTGTTTCAAAAACTAATTATTTGGTCTTCTTGTTAATTTTATGTTATTTTTAAATTTGTTTTCCTTTTTGTTTTAAAAATAAATAAGTAAATAAATTTATATCATGAAAAAATTGATGGAAAAAAAATTCATTTTGTGGAATAAAATAATATTACATTAAATATGGTTACCACTAATCAAAAGATTAAATAATTAGTTTATTGTTTTTTGTGTGATATAATCTATTAGAAGTGTTATTAAATTTTTTATTATAAATTCAACATTTGTTGTCTAATATTAAATTATTAGATATGTCATTATTTATTAGTATGTTTAATTAGTAAAACTGTTAAAAATATGTAAATTAAAATAAATTTATTCATAGTTAATGTATTCACAATATCGATTACTGCAACCGTTATTTTACTTTCGTGATAAGTTGCGATCGCAATTGTTTTTTCAATTACGACCACCGCTATTTAAAACTATGTCATGGTTTTAAATAACGGACGTAACGACCATTATATAATGGTAACGATGCATTCTGTTATCGTTATTCGGCGTTATTTGTACTCCAATGCTGTTCACAAGAATAACGGTGTTATCGTTATATAACGTCATTATTTGTCGTTATATATAAAAAAATTCAAAACTCTATCCTAATTAATCACCAACTCAAAAGGCATGAAATAATACACGAAAAAAGAATAAATGAGAACTTACAAAAAAACTTGGTAGAGAATTGAAGGGAAACAGACGAAAAAAAGAGTGAATTGAGAGATAGAGAGACGAAGAAAGGAGGATGTGAATTAATGAGTAGTAAAAGAGTAGAGAGACAAAAAAATGAAAATGTGAAGCAGAGATGGATGATTAGGAGAGTAATAGACGGAAAAAGAAAGATATGAAGCAAAGATTAAGAGAACAAAAGAGAGAGGAAAAAAGAAAATGTGAAGTAGAGACAGAGACGATTAGAACATAGAGAGTTGTCTACTGAATGGAAATATATTGATATTCACAATCAAATGCAAATGCAGGAGTCTGTAGCCTTTAGTTGAATAAATTATAAATTAGTCTCTTTAGTTTTGAAAAATAATTTAGTTAGTCCTTGTTTCAAATAAAAAAAATGGACTAAATAATTTAGTTAGTCCATTTTTCTTATTTTCTAATTTTTTCCTTTTTATTTTAAAACATAGAAAAATAAATAAATTTATATCATAAAAAGATTGATGGAAAAAAACATTTTATGAAAAAATAATATTATATTAAAAATGATCAATATTCATTAAAAGATTAAATTATTTAGTTTTTGAAAAAAAGACTAATCAATTCATTTATTCATACTGAAGAGACTAATTTATTGTTTATTCAATTAAAGTCTGCATTGCTGAAGGTCTTTGATTTTGTGCACGAAACCTGCAATTCGGTTTAATAATAAAGAGTAAATTACACATTAGTCTCTTTATTTTTTATAAATGAATTAATTGGTTTTTTTGTTTTAAAAACTAATTATTTAGTCTTTTTTGTTCATTTTATGTTATTTTTAAATTTGTTTTACAAATAACTAAATAAATACATTTATATTATGAAAAAATTGATGGAAGAAAAATCATTTTGTGGAATAAAATAATATTGCATTAAATATGGTCATTACTAATCAAAAGATTAAATAATTAGTTTATTATTTTTTGTGTGATATAATCTATTAGAAGTGTTACTAATTTTTTTTATACTAAATTCAACTATTGTTGTCTAATATTAAACTATTAGATATGTCATTACTTATTAGTATATTTAATTAGTAAAACTATTAAAAATGTGAATTATAATAAATTTATTAATAGTTGTTAATGTATTCACGATATTGATTGTGGTGATCTTTATTTTACTATTGTGATAAGTCGCGATCGCGACCTTTTTTTCAACTGTGAGCGCTATTTATAACTATGGTGCTGAGTATTCACTTTATCTTGATCAGCATTCATGTGGAAGTAGAGATACTGGTAGCTTAAGTATGCATTGCTTTGCTGAGATGAAGCACTCACTTTGAGTAGTTTAGACGGGTGATTTCTAGATATGAAACTAACCCGATCAGATATGTTTGATATTTGTGAGAGCAATATATATATATATATAATCGGTAATATTTTCAGCAGTAGTAATTCCAGGTTCAAATTAGTTTATGATGGCTTAATGGCTGAGTTCTAAAGACTGGCTGACAGCATTATGAAAGCATGCTGTTTTTAGACAGTCTTAAACTGTCATCTTTGTTGTCTTTATCGTGTTCCTCATCATTGATGTCACCAATAGTTTCTCCACAATTATTAGCATCTCCTGTTGAAAATTGATATTTTTATGAGTTGGAAACAAAATCATCGATACAACTTATTAATCAGATGAATGCCCTCAGAGACAAAATGAAGTCACCCAACTCCCCTTTAGTATCTTAGGTTCATTCTTTAAGGGTGTCTCTCTCAGAATTCTACAATAAATCAGAGCTAATTTGTTGGTGAGATCCTGAATTAAATTTTTTCTTATGGTTCTGCTAGGTTATCAAACCAAGTGTCATTGGTGGGTTTGAAAAGGCAGCATTAATTGCGCGATGGGCTCAGAAACATGGAAAAATGGCTGTTGTTAGTGCTGCATTTGAAAGTGGCCTAGGTTTGTCAACTTATATTCTATTCTCCTGTTACCTGGAGCAGCTGAATTCTGTTTACTCAGTTATGAACCGTGAAACCATGCCATCTATAGCCCATGGTCTTGGAACTTACAGATGGCTTAAACAAGATGTCACAGCTATACCACTTGGGATTCATTGTGATCCAAGTAAAGGCTTTGTGGGAGCATCTGTTGCTGCTGCCATTCAACTCCTGCAGAACTTTCAAGTCAACAACAACATTATTCATAGAACTTTTATTGAAGAGCAAGTTCATAGATATCATTTGACAGTGAATTCAAAGAATTTCTCCTACTCCATCAAAGTTCATGAGGTTGGGCGAGAAAACAATGTAAGTAAGGGAGCTTCATGATAGTCACATCTCACATGGCTTTTCTGTTTCCACTCTGTCCCCTTACAAAAAGTACTCTTGGCTGTTTTTGGTGTTCTATTTGCGAGGTGGCATCTTCAATCTCGAGTCATGAGCTGCTTTACATTTTGTGTGTGGTTGTCTATTGTCATTTGAATATTTCCATGCCATTGTTTTCTCTTTTTATGGTTGCATTCCAATCATCTAGGCATTAATGTAGGCTTGTAACTTGCCTTCAAATTTCCATGTATCAGTTGCTGAGTCTGGCATTATTTTGCCTTGCAGGATAATGTTGTCATATTTCTTCATGGATTTCTTGGAACTGGTGAAGATTGGATCCCCATCATGAAGGCCATCTCAGGATCAGCAAAATGCATTTCAATTGATCTTCCTGGACATGGGGGATCAAAAATACAAAATCATGGCAGTAAGGGAGCCAAAGAGGAAGCAACTTTGTCGGTTGAAATAGTTGCAGATGTATTATATGAGTTGATTCAAGGCATAACTCCTTTTAAGGTTACCCTGGTTGGATATTCTATGGGAGCTAGGATTGCATTGCACATGGCACTGAGGCTTAGTCATACGGTATACTCATGTTATTGGAGATTTCCTTGCACTTGAGTTATGGATTTTGTGGTTATTTAGCTGACAAATTTAAACATATTGCACAGATTGATGGAGCAGTTATAATATCTGGTAGCCCTGGCCTGAAGGATACATTGGCAAGAAAAATCCGTCAGGCTAAAGATGATTTTAGGGCAGATTCACTTGTTGCTTATGGTTTAGAACACTTTATTGAGTCCTGGTATGCTGGAGAGCTCTGGAAGAGGTGATTTCTTTTCTGCTCTTTACAGTACCACTTCTTATGCCTTCCTTGTCCTTAAGGGCTTTATGAATTCATTAATTATAACCTGAATGACGGATTTGTATCTATAGCCTGAGAAGTCATCCCCATTTCAAGCAAGTAGTTGCCAGCCGCTTGCTGCATGAGGATGTCCAAAGCCTTGCAAAAGCTCTGTCTGGCCTCAGCATTGGGAGTCAGCTGTAAGTTAATTTGGAAATTTTCCTTTTGATGAATGATCGAGTCTAATTGTGTTTCTATTCTCCTTGGAATTTTCTTGCTTTTCATTGTTCGATGAAAGAATGAAGTGTTTCATACCAACACTATGTAAATCAGGCTCCAGTGCCTTGGGGATCAGAGAAGCAGAGAGCCCTCTTTGGAAGCCAAGCCCCACAGTTTGTATGTTAGAAGTTTACCATTTAGGTGGATGCTTTTTCAGCAGAAATAAACCAGTGATCTATTAGAAAATCTTATCCTTTTGTCCCCTTTTCTATGACATGGTTGATCAACATCTTGACTTGGATAGGCTCTAAGTTTATTTCATATGAGTATCTGAAAGAATTCTGAGTACTTTATTTGGTTTCATGGAAACAGAAATCCTTTCTTGATGTTTCTGTGTAGAAAATCAATTGCAAGGCAAACTGATTCCTGCCAAAATTCAGCATTTGAAAATACTGCTATATGAAATCTGAGCCTTGATTTGACAACTATGGTGTGTAAACGAAGTCTCAAGTCCTCAAAAAACAAAAATAAGATTTAGGATAACCTTCTATATTGATTTGGACATCTCTCAGCAGAAGAGTCTTCATCTATCTCTCTCATTTATTTTTCTAAATTTACGTTTGGGCAATTGCAGGAGGTCCACCTGCAATCTGTATTTTATTCCAATCTGAAATGTTTAGGGCCCTTCTATATTATGAACCCCTACTCCTATAACAACTTCTATGTGTTTGGACTGGTCTACTTGTGTCCTTGTCTAATATGTACTGACAATTGTCTGGGATTGTCGTGGATACCATTCTCTATGTTTATAGTTGGTCAATTGTTGAGATTTTTAGAAATGTAAACTTACAGTTAAGTTCTCTGATCTTTGTGCTCAACTTTGGACTCTTTTAAAATTATTGCTAAATTGTAGGTCAGTTTATTGCTGTCTGGAACTTGAATTATAAGGTGACTATTAGTAATATTAATCAAGTGAAACATGAAAACCTCAAACTTTACCTTCCCTAATTCGTTATCACTTCACCTCCTCCTTAGTACTCTGTAGTCTGCATGATCCTGCCCATCGGAAGCCTGAGTCAACTTAACTTGCCGAGTCAACTTAACTTGCCAAGTCTACTTTATAGCATGAGTTATTTGTACTTAAGCATGACAGCCACTCTGTAACATTAAATTTCCTAACAGATATGAGTTGTTGATAGAACTAGTTGAATTTTCCTGTCTTTATTTAGTTTTATTCATTGATTTCAATTTCCTTAATAATTATCCTCACACGATAGGCCACTGTGGGAAGACTTGAAGCAATGCGATTTGCCCCTTTTACTCATTGTTGGAGAGAAAGATGCGAAGTTCAAATCAATTGCTCAAAAAATGTTCCACGAAGTTGCCCAAGATAGGAAAGGTGAAGACAGCAATGGGAACAATATTTGTGAGATACTTGAGGTTCCCAACTGTGGTCATGCTGTCCATTTGGAAAACCCTCTTCCTGTTATCAGAGCCGTGAGACAATTTCTGATCCAAGTAAGAAAGAGTTCCTCCACAGCTTAGTGAAACGCAACAGAGATGACTGATCCAAATATGGTCATTGGTGCTGAAGTCCCATTATCCAAAAAATCCACGGCACAGGTTTTAACTTCTAATGCATGCTTTAAAGGTATACTGACAGGGGAGTTGGATCGAGGTCCAACTCTTATGAGCAAAGATGACAGGTTGAGTTGGGGTTGGTGTGAGTGCGGAACCACGAATCTAATTTTCACATTAGCTTTGATTATTATTATTATTTTTTTTTTATAATGTCTTATTGGATATGATTGGTACTACCGAATCGTTAATTGAGTTTGGAAATCGAATTTGTCTAAATAGACAGGTACCTGCCCATTGCTGTCTGTAGGATCATGAAGCAGATTTAATTGTGTTAGATGCATATTGCACCATTGCTATCGGTAGGGTCATGAAATTAACTTATAATCGTATTAGGTGCACAAAACAGCAAATTTCCAAAACCAAAGTGGTGTGAAAAGCACTCCAATTTTGAGGGGGCAAGAAAAGTGTTGTAATAATTTCACCTTATTACTTTTGAGTTTCTAAGCCTGAGGTCAACAACATACGCCGACTTACTCGCACTACAACCTCCCGTCCGCTGGGAGCCAGAGGGTTGGAGATCATTCGAATAAGGCAGGTTTTGCGATATACCCTTGTTAATTTATACAAATTTTAGTCTCTCTTTTTATAAATTCTTATCAATTTATTAATCTTTTCAATAAACTTATTTAAATCAACTTCAGCAATTATAATCTGTCTTGAAATATACACCTATGTTGCTTATTGAGGCTTTCAGCCACTAATATTAGCATTATGGCCTTAATATACAATAAAATGAAAAAAAGAACAAAAAAGGAGTTTTCACTTAACTACTCTCGATTTTTTTAAAAAATTATTCTTTATATAAATCAAAAAGGTTATTACTTGTTATGTTATATTAGCTTTTTTTATTTATATTTTTTTAAGATATATATATATATATATATATATATATATATAGAACTGTCAGTTGAATTCAATCTTCAACATGAAATCAATATTAATTAAAAATATTTTAAAAAATTATATCAATTAAAATTTTAACTAGATAAATCTTGTATGATACACATATATAGAAAAAAAAATACTGTTTGTTTGGGATAAGAGGACCTCTTCAAAGAGAAAAGACCAGGATGCCTTTAAGAATAATGCCAATAAAAAGTAAGCTAAAAATAACAAGCATATGAAAGTGGGTTCCACTTAATAATAGCATATAAACTGAAAGGATGATATCATCAAAACAGGTATTTACACACGTCATTTCTCTCCGCCCAAACACACTGAACTATTATTTTTTTTTTAAAAAAAAAGGGGATACTGACTAGGACATGAAAGAGCTTGTCGGTTTGTCATCCTCGGTTTGATCCTGCGCTTACTGATCTTCTTAAGAGACTCATCAACATCAATCCTTAAATCTAGCTTAGTCCCACGAGTCCAGAAACAATTTCTTATTTTTATTATTATTAATTTCTTTCATGTGTCGAGGACAACGCCATTTCTTCTTTTCTGCAATCTTTATTTGGTCCCTAAAATCATTCTCACGACTGTAACATTATAAGATTGAAAAAAAATTATTATTATTATTATTTATTTTTTTTTTTTGGATATTATTGAAATGACCTATACATGCACGTCAATCATTTTCATATCTAGTCGTACATTACTGACTGGATCATGTTTTATCAGGAACGTGCACGACTGTTTATTTTACCTACCTAACCTTACCGTACATTTCTTCAAGAACTTCGAATTGCCAAAATTGTTCCCTTCTAGAAATTAGCAACTTAATGAGCAAGCATATTGTACTACAGATCCAGTCCCATTCCGATCACCCAACGTTAACGGCTGGATCCATCCTTAAATCATTTTGTAGCCACAATTTTAGGGTTTGAATTCTAACAAGGAAGAAGATGCTTTAAGCAATCCATCAAAACCAGAGTCAATTATATTTAGTCGCGACAGCACACCAGGGTTCTTTACTTATATATAGCTACGGCTCTAGAACTGGTCAGCTAGTAGGATCAGTTGCACACCAAGTGAACCCGGCCAGTAGCTTCTAAGGTTGTAATTATCCCCGACTTCCCATCACTGAACTCTCATAAACATTATATAAGCTCTTCGAATAACCCCATTCCCATTTCTCTATTAGACCTTCTCCAATATATCATTAGAGTTTTGGCCTTCCGGCTGTGGGTTTCTTCGGTGCAGCTACCTTGCTCAGTTTCTTGTTCTTTCTTGTTTCACTTCTTTCCTCCCTTTCTTCGTTCTTTATTATGTCACTTCTTCCCGTCCTTTCTTCGAATTCTCAAACACAGCATGATGATCAAAGTCATGATGATCTCGAATCCAACCTGCCAGATCAATCCACACAAGCCAGTAACTCAGATCAAACCAGACGCTGCCGTGATATCAAACGAAAGGACTGCCCAACGAGCCCAAACTTGATGTCCAACTCCCCAGCTAGTTCTCCAGCTTCTTCGGAAAGTATAACAAGGCTACGTGAATCAACCAACACCAATTCTCCTTCATTACCAAACTCGACATTATCATTAGCACATGAGAACCCGGCACAATCACAGCAAGGGCTGCCCGATCATGCTAATCCTAGCCATCCTCTGCCTTTCCATCCTATAATCGAAATGCTTAGACAACAGGAACTAGGCAGGCATATGTTGGTCCTGTCAGTTCCCATGACCATTGGCCTGTTCGTTGTATACAATTCGGTTAAATCGCCTTTAGCACTGAACGTGATGGCGCTTGCAATTGCTTTAGGTTTTGTGGGGATTTGGAATGGTATTTTGCTACGGACAAGTTGCCGTGAAGCATCAAACATAATTGAGTTGCTGGGGATAGCATTCATGTTGCTTGCATATTTTGGATTCGTTGCATGTTTTTTACCTGAGAAATTTATTTGGGTGCCTTATCTTTGTTGGCTCCTATCAGTAGTTGTATTCGTAATCACCCTCCGTCTTTAGGGGAAGGACCGGCAAAGAAAGAGAAAGACAAAGCTCCAACAGCAGGCAGCACCGTCCTTTTTCTGTATATGTTTCTGGGTTTGCATTTTGTGCAAGATGTAGCTTCTCCCGCTTTGTCGTTTCTTTCGCCTTGGTTGCTCCCCACCCCCACACACATTCTTTTTTTTTTGTGTTGTATTAATTAATTTCGTTTGCCTTATATGGATAATAATTAAAAAAAAAAAAACGGTTGTGTATGTGTAATAATTCAGCGACTTTGTGTTTTTCTATTTTAACTAACCTCAGGATTAATTCTCTGTACGTAGCTATGGAGGTTGCAGAATTAATGTTTATTGCTTAGAATAATTTGGATGACAATTGAAAGATTAATTATGACAATTTGACATGTTTTATTATTTCTTAATTTCATACAATTATGTTGGTCAATAAAATGGAGTAGTATAATTCACCGCCAGTATAGTCACAATAAATTACTAGTTATCAACTTTCTTGCTAGTTCATTGAAAGGCTGAACGAGCCTCGGGCTATATACAATACGAGTTGTATTTTCTATAATTTTATTATAATTACGAAAACGTTCAGCTAGGAAGACTTGAAGGTCAATTTCACTTAAAAGAAAACTAAACTAAATAAAAATAAATCATTTTTTATATAAAAAACAGCAGTTAGGATTATATGGTTTTAAAAAGTGCTTTTAAGCCCATCAGTTGCATCTTGTGTTTTTATTAATTTTAAAAAAAGTATACCCAATTGGTTGAAATTAAAAATATATGTGCTCAATTGACTGAATTGATAATAAATGAATTTTTTTTATTGAATTGGTAAATACACAGAGTGCAAATCGGCAAAATCCACATGGACTTTTGGATCATGATTTTAAAGTATTTTTGTTTTTTTGCCAAAGATTCATTACAATTGCACTTTATTGACTCGGTTATTCTGTTCATGATAGTGACTTGATAAGAATTCTATTCATAGGTAACTGTGTTGTGATTGGTGCAAAAGTGTTTTTGCATTATGAAATATTTTTGTTGCTGGAACTTCAATGAGAATTAGAGGCCTTCGATCGAAAGCCTTTAACTATGTATACATTTCATAACTAGAAAAGAGCTAAATGATATAGCTCAAGCATTCTTCCGTTAATTGCCGTATGTAAAATAATAGTAATTAATTATCGAGCATGCATGAAAATTGCCAAATTTTGTGATGATGCAAAATGCATATATATATATATATATATATGCTTAATGATCCTGTGTGATTGACGACATATAGTATAGGTTGACGATATCTACCGGCATCACTTATTTTTGGCGTATGAATCATATTGGCCTTGGGGCTAAACAAAATTGACTCTAAGGTTATTATAGGTTCCCAAAAATAAAATGGTGTCAAAGCAACCTATTCTGAAGGTATAACGTTGAGGTACAATCTTTCAATTTATTAGTCAGTAATATGTTCTGACGCTGCCTCTTTGGTGTGGCTTTTACTTTCAAGCACATCAGTGTCGACGTAACCCCTTAATAGTTAATAGTCATCAAGAGACATTCGATTAATTAAAAAGAAATTTAGAAATTATATCCAGCTGATTTCACGGACTACATAGAACTCAAGTTCAAGTTTGTTCCGTGTGTTAGTGAAAACTTATGTTTTTTTTTTTTTGTCCTTAAAAAAATAAATTAAGCATTTATTGTTAGTGAATTAAATATTGAATTAAAAGTACTATACGGATTTGACATTTATATATGTATGTGCATACATATATATGCATAAGGACCTGATGAAAGCTCGAGAACCAGGTATTTAGATTTAAAATCATAGTCCATTAGTAGGCATAAAATTTTGTAGAATTATAATTCCAATAGAATTGAAGCTTTTTTTTTTTTCCATTGAATTATAATTAAAGCAATCTTCTAGCATTTATTTAAACCTTTACAAATTGTTACGGAGGGCCATTTTAGCAAGGAGCTGAAACTCATGGGATTTTTATGTGAAGCATGCATTGATAAAGAGTAACCAAATGTAAACAAATTGAGAATGAGTACTACGTGATTTAATTTCATAGTTGTAATTTATTAATTATTTTCTTCAAGCATGAAGTTGCAGCCATGTTATATGACTGAATTTTATTAATAAAGGGTATATATATATATCTTACTCTTTGTTGAGACCTAATTTTTATCTCCATATATATCTTACTCTTTTTTGACATATATATATATATATATATATATATATATATATATATATATATATATATATATATATATATATATATCTTACTCTTTGTTGACACCTAATTTTTATCTCCATTTAATTTGGAGTTAAAAAAATACAAAAAAAAAAAAGAAAAAAAAAAAAGAGAACTATTTGGAAAAAAATGATTTGGAGTTTCAATTAAAAAAATACAAAGTATAATGACAAAAAAAAAAAATGATTGATGTCAAATAGGTATCAGAGCTTTGATTTGCTTTTCTTATGCATTCTTAACCATGTTTTGAAGATACCTTTTGAAAAACAACCAAATGGCAACCATTCATCTTATAACAAAATAAAAGAACGGCTAATCAAAAAGTCACTTGAATAGATCAAGTGCCAACTTGATCTCCTTTCATCCGAAACACAAGAAAAAAATTTCTAGCAACAAGAAGATGATCTTGAGACTAAATTATATATATATAATTCTAGCTCCTTTGTGGACTGGAATCAACCACTAAATTTTAATGAAGATCTCTTTGAGCTTAATGCACATGAAAATTTTGATTCCCTTATGAATCTAGACCAACCTCTAATTTATAATATTTATCTTGATGATGATTATAATGTTAATTATAGTATCAATAATGATGGCATCAATGTTGTCATCAATGGTGATCTCATTAAAAAGGTAGAAGTTGAGTGTAAAGAGATTGTAGGAATTGCTCAACAAAAGAAATTTATTAATTTAGGCTATGTTGATCCTTTTGATTACAAGTCTACTATTATCACAAAGGTAGAATTTTTTTAAAGATCATACGGATATAACATATGTTGATGAAAGAAGTTTAAGGTTTGCAATTCATTACTCCAAAAGTCATTGGAAGAGAAATAAGTTGTCAATTGATGTTTCTTTTGCAAAATTTAAGAAGAAACTAATGTTGATATGTAGAATTTTTATATGTTTGAAATGAAGGAAAAAAAAAGACTTAGAGAGTTTTTATTGGACATCCGCAAGATTGAGAAAAGAACAATGTGAACTTGAAGACGAGTTTCTTCTATCCAAAGAGTTTGATGCTTGGAGTGTCTTTTTTTCGAACTTCACTATTATTTTTTAATTTATTATTTATTATTAATATGTATTTTTATTTTTCTGTTTGGGGTCTAATTTAGTAGTTACTTACTAGGTTTTTAAGGTTAATTAATTCTTTTTTCCGAAGTGGAGCCCCTTCTAAAGTAGAATCCTTTTTCTATTTGGATTTTATTTTTAGCTATTTTTTAGGAGTTAGACGAATTTTCTTACTTTATGCTACTAAGGCTATAAAACCCTTTTTTAAGCATCTTTTATAACAAGTCGGAACAATAATATTGTTGAATACAACTTTTGAAAATTTTTTAATTCTTGTGATTAGTTTAGAATTTTGTATTTTCCTTTATCTTTAGATTGATCTTTCGAGATGGTTTTTTTTTTTTTTTATCATTATTAGCTAAGGTTGTAGTGAGATTTTAAATCTTGCAAAAATCAATCAATGTTAGGGTTACATTTTGTTGATGGCGTGCTTAAGTTGCGGTGGAGTTTTTAATTTCATTAAAATCAACTAAAATTAGGGTTTATTTTATTATTGAATATAGATTTAGCTTTATAAGATTTGGAATTTACAACTTAATTGTTTGGTTTCACAGATCTGGTGTCATTTTCCATTTCCCATTTCATTATAGAGTATTCATGTCTGCATTTAAGGGAGGACAAAAGCTGAGCTGCATCGATCTTTCATGTAATTAAGAGAGATTTATTGTTTTTACCGGAATATTTTTATTCTTTCAGCTCATCAATCGAAGAGAAGAGGATAACTCATAAGTCAAAATTATAAAGGCTCAATTTATTAAGAAAACTAAGATTATTGTAAAGATACTTGCATATATGTTGTCATGCCCATTAATTTGCAACCATCGCTTAAGTCCTCTAATTTATAGCTGGATTGAAGCAGGTGACGGAGGATTAACTTCTTTACCACAGATGCACTTGCCGTCAACGCACTTGTAGGGGAACCCCTGACACACCTTGCTGCAGTCAATCATTTCAGGACAGCGAGTTGGTGCCCTTGCTTCTGCTCCTGGCATCCTCCACAACATACCTGCATGCCCATTTTCAATTTTTTAATATATATATATATATATATTGTATAATGAGTAATCAGTACTAATTTCCATATATATAAACAGCAACATGATCAACAACAATAATAATGACATTTGAGCATGTGAAACAAAGGGACTAACCAGTTGTGATGAGAAAGAAGATGACCAAGAAACTCAATTTCATTGACGTTTTTTCCATTGTATATATCCTGATTTACTAAGAGTGCAGAGGAATTGCATGATAGTGTTGCTAATTTATAGTAGGGTGAACGACCTCCTTTTCGTATCTCAGTAGATGGCTGAAATCCGGGCGACATTAATTAGGAACTATATTTAAGGTAATGCTAATTTTGCCAAAAGATTTTTCTGAATTCACTAAGTTAAAAAAGACAGCCCGTCCAATTCTAAATATAATAAAAAGAAAAGGATTTTTTTCTTTCTTTCTATATATGCGCTGCTGGGTGAGATATTAAATCTAAAATTGGCTTATTGGATGGATATTCATGTAAATTTTGGATTTCATCAGATTTCTATAACTGGCTTGTTGGCATCTATAATCTAACAAGTTTTAAAAACTCATCTAATAGTATAAACTTTTAATTTTAAATTACGTTATTAATTTCTTATTTGATGAAGTTAGAATCCTACCATTCCATCTTCTCCTGTAAAGAAAGAAAATGTAACGGCAAAAGATAATTAATGCATTTCTTTTCAAATTTGAAGTGCAAATGGCTTTAAATTGAGGTGGTGTTAAAAAATATATATATATATATAACTGTTTATGCCAACTTATTTAATAATTAAATGTAAAAATATGGTCGTCATATGAAAAAGATGAATATTACAATCTTGTATTTTTTTTTTTTCATTGAAATTGTTGGGATAGGCATTTAAAAAACATAAATTTTAAAAAGTATAAGAAATTAATTATTTGAATGGATTTTCATTGTAACCTATACTATAAATTTCATTGAAAATTTTATTAAAATTTCCCTAACAAAAATATATAAATTTTAAAAGAAAAAAAAACTTTATATATAAATTTTAAAAGAAAAAAAAAACTTTGTGAATTTATTTCCAAATCAATGTGGTAATGAAAGATTCAGCGACTCTACCTATACAAATTTTCTAATCAAGTGTTTCAACTTTTATGTTTTATATTTGAGTATTTGTACCTTCATTATTTCTTCAATCAAGTGTTTTTATTTTTATTTTTTTATTTGAGTGTTTATACTTTTATTTTCTTTTAATTGAGTGTCTCTGTTTTAAATTATTAATGACATATCTGATAAATGGACCAGTATCATTCTTATGCGACCACCACTAATAAAGTTGGAAAAAAATAGAGACCGAAATTTAATTTGGTTTAAGAGAGAAAATTTTCCTTTCTATTGAGACTTTCGAATGTTTTAAGATTTCTTAATAATGTACAAAAATAAGACGGTGTAGTAAATTTCCTTCTTAAAAAAATCATTAGATTCGAAAATATAAACAATTATTTTATTTGATACGGAAGAAACTCAAATTATTAGAAAAAGATTAATTTATAGTTTTAGCATGACTCCTCACATGAAATTTATATGTACTTGAAACATAAATCAAGTGATTTAACCCATTATTTCATCCATATGTATGTTTTATATAAGGATAAATTGAAGTATTGATCTATATATAGTTCATTTAACTTAATTTGAACCTAACATTTTTTTTCATAAGTGTTATACTTAAAAGTTAAATTAAGCCAGAAATTTAGTAACTTGATTTCATTTAAAAAAAAGTAAAGACTCTCAATAAAAAAATTCCAACTAAATATGAAATAAACCTTTTAAATAATAAAATAATATGAAAAAAAGAAGATAAAAAGATCAAAACACCAACCCAATTATTAATCTAGCCATTTCGGAATTTGACGTTGGGTCAACGTTACTAAAGTACTAATAATAATAATAATAATAATAATAGCATGTGAAATGTTTCTGGCATAATACTCAAGTAAGAACTATATCAAATCCAATATTAAAATAATGCAACTCCTGATTTCAAAACTTGACGATAATTTAATTTGATTTCACCATAAATCTTAATTAATTTAATTATGTCTTAATTTGTTAATAAGTTTCTGGCGCAATATTCATGTCAGGACTATAATTAAATCTTGTTAAATTAATCCGAATCTTGATTTCAGGACTCGACAATAATTAATACTATTCAATAGTAAGTTATAATTAATTTAATGTGACTCAAAATGACATCATAACTAAAATAGGAAGAAAAATGATGTTTTTTGTTAATTGTTATTCTTCTTTAAACATACGATTCATTATCCATATTTTAGAACCAATGTAACTATAGATTTTTTTTTTTTTATCTCTTTAAAGTACTAGATGGTGATTCTATTTTTTTAATCCAAAAATTTTATATGATGACGACATTCATCGTATGTGTGTGTATATATATATATAATTTAGAGTGTGAAAAAGAGAAAGGAGAACGAGACTCACTGGATACAAATACAAAAACTAAGTGTGTGTGTGTATATATATATATATATATATATATATATAACACTTATTTGTAGTATGAATTGGGCGAGCCAATACTATTTTTATTGGCGGACAACATAAGTGGTCTTTTTAGACAAGAAGAGATTTGTGAGGAAATGTTAACAAATATTTCTAAATATTATGTATTTATGTGATAGATATGTAGATATCGCTGAAAATACTAAAATTACCTTTAATACATCATGCGAGTTTTTAACCATATAATCATGCTTCACAGTATATTGCTAATTTGAGACCAGGAACTTATCATTCTCTTTCCCCGGTTAAGAAAAGTTTTCAGATACCTTTCTGTCCTAACATTTGAGAAATAAAATATTAGGGCCAATTGAGGCCCAACCTTGAATGAGCCCAAAAATCCATTAATATAAATAGGGTTCAGGGTGGAAGACAAGGGAGGTCAATGAGGTGAAATTAACCTCTCTTTTTTTCTTTTTCTTTTTTCACACATCCAAGTATCCAAGTAGGTGAAATTAACCTCTTTTTTTCTTTTCTTTTTTTCACACATCCAAGTATCCAAGTAGGTGAAATTAACACTAGATTTGGATCCAGAGAAGAATTTTCATATCGTGAGACTAAGTTTATTTTTGGTATCCTATGTTGAGATTCAATTCAATATATATATGATAATATTATGGAGGCAAACGTTGTATCTTGTGTTGTTTCGGCAAGCAAGCGAACCTTATCAATCAATGCATTATTCTAAAAATTCTTTTCAAGCTCTATATACATAGAGGAGGAGGAGGAACTCTTTTTAGATCCTCCTTTATTCTCAAGATGGGCTTAGCCTAGTGTAAATTATGAAGATTTGGGCCAAATATTCAGTTAGACCAAAATGTAATTTTTTTACTTGCAAAGCTCCAGGTTCAGTATTGTTCTCAAGTATTTGTACCCAAAAAAAAAAAAAAAAGTATGTATTGCTCTCATTTATATCTTCCTTTCTCGCACCTGCCCAAAACAAATTCCTCTCGTCTTGGCTTTGGGATGAAAGTTGATTTTTTGCTTTTCGACACACACACACACACATATATAACAGCCAATGAAACTGAAATCTTCATCCTAACTTGAAATTTCTTATCTCACTAGAATTATACTTCGATAAATAATTGGCGGACGTGTATGACATAAATAAATAAATAAAATAAAATAAAATAAAAAATAAATTAGATGAACGGTGAATTTTAAATCATTTTAAATCATTAAGGTCATGCAGTTTGCAATAAAAGTGTCTAAGACTGATGGTGATTGCTTGTTGAATTATTTGGAAATGGCATGTATTTATTACCACTAAAATCCCCATTCTTAAAAAGGGTTTAATAATCTAGGATATCCTATTATTTTATTTGTTTTAATCATATCTCTTTACTTATTTTTTTTATTAACTATGTCTCTTTACATTTATTTATGTTTTAATTTCATCACTCTATTTAAATTTTTAAATAATGATGTCAATTTCGACTACGGGCACACATGATGCTGACAAATAATATTTTTTTTATTTTTTGAAAAAAATAAAAAATTACAAAATGCTTTTCTTTTTCTCTACCTTTATTTATAAAAAAAATAATTAATTTCATCCCTTAATTTTTTTTTTGCTTTCTCTCAAATCCAAACCCAAACGATTTATTTTTTTTATTTTAGAAACTTATTATGAAAATTTATTTCAAATCCAAGCCTAAATATTTTTTTTTATGTATAGGAAGGAACGGATTTTTTTTTTTCAGAAATTTATTATGAAGATTTATTTCAAATCCAAACCCAAAGAAATTTTTTTATGAATTTTTTTTATAACATAAGAACAAAAGCAAATGAAAAAAAAAAAAAAAAAAAAAAAGAGGGACATTTTGAGATTTTTTTTTATTTTTTGTCAGAAATTTACTTTTTTTTTAAAAAAATCACATGTTAACATCTTATGCATCAATCGCTAGAAATTGATGTTTTTACCTGAAAATTTGGATAGAGAGACAAAATTAAAATGTCAATTAAAATAGAGAAATGCAATTAATAAACAAATTAATAGAGGAACATGATTAAAATAAATGAAACAATGGAGAGACATTTGGGACCATTAATCTTCTTAAAAGTTGATACTAGCTAGAAGGAAGAAGCTAATGGAATTAATTCGTAAATTAAAAAGCCAAGAAGAAGAAGAATTCACTACTTCAACAATGTCACTGTTTTGTAGGAATTAATATTACAATCGAGTATTATTTATATAATTGTTAGAAAATAATATTGAAAGCAATTTAAAATTTTATTTAACAGTTTAAGTTTTTTTAAATTAAAATAGCTATTTGATGATAATTAACGATAATATAAAGAAGACCTATCTATAGGTCCACAATTGTCTTGTCATTAAAAAAATTAAGAAGGCATCAGGTACTATTGATTTCCAGTACAATCTCGATTCTTGAAAGTTATTAGTAGCTAGAAGGAAAATGTTAATGGAGTTCGTAACTTCAGGAAGAAAAAAAGAGAGAAAGAAGAAGAAGAATTCACAAATTAAAAAGAAAAAAAAAGGTCATTGATTTACACGGAAATTCAAGTTTATCATAGAAATCAAGACAATTTATTGGTTTTAACTATTTATTTTATGGTCTTATTCAATGTAGATAAACACATTGGTATTTGCTCCATCTAGTTTAGCTATGAAATATATTGTGTAGCTAGCTACATAAGAAGGCAACCACACACAAGTAGAGATGCCTCCAATGTTAGGTAATGACGCATTGGCAGACATGGTTGAAACATTCAAGTGTGGCTTCTGGAGAACATCTAATAACTTTCGGGTCACAGTCTTTGTTTGATTTACATGAGGCTCTGTTTCCTGCTTTCACTGTATATCTAGGATTGCATTGGCATGCACGGTTGAGACATTCGGAGGGGGCCTCTGGAAAACAGTTAATAACCTTTGGGTCACAATCTTTGGTTGTTTTACAAGACAGTTCTCTTGCTGCAGAGGGTAATATGGATTCTGCAGATGTTTCTACGGGTTGACTGGAGCATTCGATATCCCGATGACATTCTGCTGCTGATCTTAGTGCATCTGCAGATATATATATGCCAACATCAGAGTAAACATATCATTAATATTCATCATTATATATTTTAGGGAGGAATAGAGAGAAAAGGAGAGAGATAAGGCACACTAGAGACAAAAACTGAGAGGATGAACAGAAGTGCTAATTTCCAAGAAGCTTTCTCCATTTCCTAGCGGTGATGTATACGCTAAAATATATTTAATCAACTTGTAGTATAAACTGGGTGAGCCAATGCTACTTTTATAGGCGACCAACGTAAGTGACTTTTCTAGGAAAGAAATTTGTGAGGATTTTGTTAACAAAATATCCTTCCTATTTGTGTTATGTGATAAAAGGAGAAATTTTGATTAACTATTGCGAAGGTGTTATGTGAATTTTGAGTAACTATTGTAAAGGTTCACTTTTATAGAAAGAGATGAATATAAAATAAATCACATCCTGTAAAAATTTTTAAAAATTTTCCCTCTTTTTATGTTTATCTCTTTTTTATAAAGTAAATATTGATAATTACTTTTAAAATAATATACAATTTATGTTGATAAATATGTACATATCACTGGAAAATACTAAAATGCTTTTAATACATGTTATATATGACATGAGAGTTTTAACCATATAATTATGCTAACAACACACTAATTTGAGATATCAAGAAATTTTTCAATTTCGTTGAATACACCAGGTTGACATAGGAGGTGTGTATTTAAAATTGTTTTGGAAAAAAAAATTAATTTCCATTTCCATACAAACTGATTTTAAAATATTCTTTACAATGGTATCAATAAAAAAAAAAATTCTCTTTCTTGGTTAAGAAAAATTTTCAAATACCTTTCTAAGGATACATTAGACTCCAATAATTCTCTTTCTTAGTTAAGAAAAGTGTTAAGACACCTTTTAAAAAATAAAATAAAATAAAAGGGAATTTATTTTTTTCCTTCTATGCGCCTATGCGTCTGGGTGAGATATTAAATCTATAATTGATTTGTTGAATATTTATGTAAATTTTGGATTTTGTCAGGTTTTGTTGCTCTAGATAGAAAATCGGGCAACATTAATCACAAGTGTACCTATTTATTTACTTATATCAAAATACCTGCCTAATTATTCAAGAGGATTAACTTGATCGAAATGGGTTCTAGTCACTTGAACAAGTAATTTTGAGTTTCGAGTTCTTGTATATACAAAAAACTCATTGGATAGTTATATCCACTTTACATATTCAACGGAACAACGAGAAATTAGTCCGTTATTTGATAGATACTTGATGTTATTATTTGATTAAAACTTATTACCTTAGTAATTAGATCGTTCTCCAATATACTAGTTATATCAAGATTTAAATTAGATTCAATATTGAATTGATGAGACTTTCGATGATGAGGTTTGATTATCGATTTAATATGATACCACAAATAAAAATAAAAAAATTAATTTAACCTAAATAATAAGCTTGAAATTTTGACTTAGGAATAATTTTGGCAAAAGTATAAATTTTTAGAAAATAAACTTTTAGAACTAAACCGTGTGGTATCTTTTATCGGAAAGGGTACCTTTGGACAATGATATATTTCTAAATGTATAACCAATCCCTTACTTTATAATTTCTGAATTAGTGTCATTTTTAGATTTTTTTAATTCCTTTAATATTAGGTGACAACTCCAAAACATAGTTTAACTCACATCCTTAGTAAATAATCAAAATAAAACAAATAAACAATTTTTATAATTTTTTTTGAAAGTCCTCTCAATGTCAGGTAGTAACTGTTTACACAAACATAAATTAAAAAAGAGTATAAAAAATTGATGAGGGGAATTTCGTCATAATCTACTCTATAAATTTCATTAAAAAAAAAAGTTTTCTTTTAAAAGTTTTCCCTGATAAAATTATATAATTTTAAAAGGAGCAAAACTAAAAAAAAAAAAAAAAATAACCCTCCGATACTACATAAAAATAGACGTGGCTTCAAGAATTACCTGCAAGAGTTAGAATAAAAATTTGTTTATTGTGACTTCGGGCCTTGGAATGACACTTTTCAAACTTTCTTTATTTTCAAAAATTACTATGGCCAACTATAAAAAAATAATTGTTGTATTTTGAGGATGGAAAAAAATAAATAGATTAAAATTATTCGGACATGAGTAATTTTCCCTTATGTAATCTATAATTAAAAGAAATTAGAATTGTTTTCTAAGGCGGAAATAGATTTTAGAATTAAAGGACCAATATAAGTACGTACAAAATACAAGCTTGAAACGACCCCCAAAAAAAAAAATAAAAATCCTGAAATGTATAGGTGATTCTTTTGTTTTATTGTTTGGTTGCCAGGCAGTTGGGGGACTAAATATAAATAGTTTGTGAATTTATCTCCTAATCAATAAGGTAATGAAAAATTCAGTACGTCTATCTACACAAATTTTCAAATGAAATTTTTAAATTTTTAAATTTTCTATTTGAATGTTTGTGCCTCCATTTTTCTTCAATCAAATGTCTTTAGTATTAATTTTATATTTGAGTGTTGTATTTAGATTTTTTTCAACTGAGTTTTTTCTGTTTTAAATTATTGATGATAATTTGGCAATCAACATGTATCATCCTTATTATGAAACCCACTATTCATAAAGTTGGAATTTTTTTTTTTTTTTTGAAATTGTAACAAAAAAAAATTCTGCATTTTTTTGTTATTTTTGGGTTACCATGTTCTATTAAGAAACCAAAAAATTCTAAAAAGAATAATATATAATGGAGAGTAACATCATGGTTTAAGAAGAAAATTTCTTATAAGATTGTGAATCCGATCAGAACATGCATATTCAAATTAGGAATTATAAAATTTAAATTTAAATTCATAAAATTCGATTCGATTTATTTATTAAATAAATTATATTCAAAATTACTATGATTCAGTTCGAATCTAATAGTAACTAGTGCTATATAAAAATAAAACTTATAAGTAGTTTTTATAATGGTAATTATAGGGTTGGTGTACAATTATGGGATTTTATTTTAAAAAAATTGAAAAAAGTTGATTTTTTTATAAAAGAAATCTGTGACACTTAAAAAGTCGAATACAATGTTTTCTTGTTATATATTATTTCTTAAACATTTAGAAAAATTTTGATTTTTTAATAGTTTAATATTTTTTTTTTAAACATCTGCAATTGATAGTCAATTTATAATGTAGTAACATTTAGTCTGATTAGTCAAATAAAACAGATTTTACAAACATGAGATAAAATTTGACCAGATTAATAGCTATTCAATTTTTATTGAATTTTCTTAATTTCAGATAGGAGTGAAGAACGATTGATTTATCACAAATCTACTGCTATTTTGTGCTAAAATATATTGTAATATCATTTAAAAAAAAAAAAAACCAAATCTTTTTAATAATGTACACTATCAGATAAAGCTCAAATTAAACTTTATTAATATTCTCAATCGATCTTTTTAATTAATTTGGTAAGAGTACATTATTGTTGATCACTGTCACCAGAGAGATCGAGAGAGAGAACATTGTTGGGATCAATTCATCAGCGTTGATTATCCCATAATTGAGAATTAATCCAAGTTGCACCCTCCATTGCGAGTGCAAGCAGTGGGTAATGTGGATCCGGCAGACGTTTCTTCGGGTGGCAAGCAAAAACATTCATGGGTCTTATCAGTACAGACACCACGTCCCGAAGGACATTGAAAGGAGCAGTCAATATCACGAAGGCATTTTGCTGCGTCAACTGATCTTAGCACAGTACCTGTATATATACACCAACATTAAACATTAAATTAAATCTGTCATTATTATTTTATAAATTGAGATTCATTAATTTTTTTTATCAAAAAAATATATATTGATAAGAGGAAAAAACAAGAAACAAATTCAAAAATACAAACAATATAGATGCATAATCTTGTGCCCAAGTAAACACGAACATTTAAGACAACAATTCCAAAAGCACTCCAACATACAAAACAAGCGAGAGGGAGAGTAATTAAGAAAGAGGAAGAGAGAGACTCACTAGAGGCAAAAACTAAGAGGGTGAACAAGAAGACAAATTTCAGAGAAGTTTTCTCCATTTCCTAACTATCTGTAGATGCTAAAATGTATTTATTCAATTAATTATTTTTTAGTGTAAGCCAATACTACTTTTATAGGCCGACAACATAAGTGATCTTTTTAATTAGGTGAGGAGATCTTTGGAGGAAATGGTAACAGATATTCTTCCTATATATGTATTTATATGATAGATATGTACGTACATATTGCTGAAAAATTCTAGAAATATTTTTACTAGATGTTGTTACATGAGAGCTTTAATCATATACTTGTGCTAGCAATAAATTAACCAAAAACCATATAATTGTCTTTCCTGGTTAAGAAAATTTTTCAGATTCTTTTTTAACAGTACATTACATTTAGACAAGTAACTAATAATTTCTGTCCTCGTTGAGAAAGGTTTTCAGATACCTTTCCATCCTAGCATAAAGGGTTTCCATACAAGTCCAACCTGACTTGTCGCCTAAAGAAAAAAGAAAAAAGAAAAAATCTTTAGAAGCTGGGGAATGACTGTGTTTTTACTTCAGGAATCAGAACTAATATTAGGTCCTCGGGCTTAACACTTTCAAACACCAATTCTATATAACGGGGCCCACTGTTCAAGATTCCGCACTTTAACAAATATTAGGTCCAAGTGAGGCCCAACTAGCAAGAGCCCAATAATCCACCTACATGTGTGTGTGGATACTGGGGGTAATATTGGTGAAATTAACATTAGATTTTGGCTCCACGGGTTAAGGTTAATTTTATAGTTAATGCATGTTTTCAGTAACGTTAGAACTGTTTCATGCTTCAATTCAATTTGCAGAATGGGACTCCAGTTCGTAGTATTGCCCATTTTTTGTCCAAATTTGATTTGATTTGTTTTTAATTTCTAAAATATTCCGTTGTATTTGCCATGTATAGGCTCTCCACAAAAGTTAGGCTAGATTCCATGAGAAGACGAATGTCTGCAAATTTTTCTCTCTGCAGTTAGGCTGTGAGGATGGGAATATCTTTTCTTCATTTGTACATTTTGTGATGATATATGGAAAGATTAAGCAGATGTAGAGTTGAGAAGCAATGTGAGTGACTGACATATCCGTAGCTTTTATATAAATATATCAAGGATGAATTGCTATGTAGTCATCAAAATCATGATTAAAAATCCAGAATTCATACAATCAAACTCTATCTATAAAAATCAAACTCTCAAAATTCACGTATTAAAAAGTTATATAAAAATTAAAGGTTATTAGAGGGAAATTTTAAAATACTTTAAAAGAAAAGAAAATAAAATTACATAACCACTCATCAAAAGTGATAATAATATTTCTATTAAATTTTATTTTTTTTAGTTCTCTCTTCTATTTATCTCTTTTTTTTTTTTTTTGTCTACTCTTTATTATTTAGTAAGTATTAATGAGATAAATTTTTTGGATAATAATGTGTATTGTTGATGAATTTCCTATTAATATATACTAAAAGATATAATCGTATCTAATACTAGATTAAATCAAATTCTATCTACCTCTAATATTAAAAACACCCGATCTACTTCTCACTTTGATTTTTTTTTTCTCTCTCCACAATGAGGCCGGAAGAAAGAGATGAGATCATAAAATTAAAGTGGGATGGAAAAAAGGACAACGAAAAAAGAAATTTATAAAAAAGAAATTGATGAATGGGCATTCCAATAATGACATTGTTGGAATTTTAAGTTATTAGCAGGCCATTTCGTTAGAAAAAAAAAAAAAATCTTTATGAGATGCAATTACAGCGTGACATGCAGTATCAAATTAATAAGAATGCAGTATATAACTTCTTGGGCCAATACAACTCACTTACTTTTTAGGACATGGCCATGGCCATCTTCTTTCCCCTGCCCTTCGCCACTGCTTGTATTGTTTGTTTTAGGACATGGTGTATGTTTTTTATGCTTGTTTTGTTTTCCTATTTTATAATTATAAACTCACTTACTTTTTATTATTAATGAATTTCGGTTTATCAGAATGGAAAAAAAAAAAAAAAGGCTTGTTGTTGGGTTGGGTTGCGTTGTATACCTTCTGGCATATAACGTTCGGTACTTTTGGGCCGGTCTATAAAGGAGAAAACCAGTATTGTCGGGTTAAAGGCATTTTTGGTTCTCTCATTATTTCAATTTTTCTGATGCCGTCCCTTTGCCATAAATTTTTATAATTTTATTTTTGACGAATAAATAAAATTAATAATTGAATCCTGTGTAAAGTGTAAAACCATATTCCTTTCCTTATGCAGTCCATACTCTATTGATCCATTTCTTGAAACTACGAAAGTTAAAAATATCAAAAATGATTTTATCAAATTTTGAAGGTGATTATTTCAATGTATGGCCAGATTATTTTATAAACGCCGTACGTAGAAATTTTTAATGCAATGGAGTAAGAGTAAGTTGCATGTATTCTTAGCGATAAAATAAATTCAATCATCTTATTTTTTCTAATAAATTTATATTACTTATAAGAGAGTTGAAACTAAAAACAAATATAATATTACTCTTATCCAAATATATATATATATATATATATATATATATATATATATATATATATATATATATATATACTAACAAATTATATGATTTTTTGGGGGAAGATCACGGAAGACAAAACAAAGATTTATTTTTCTTACCTAAGCAGTATATGTGATATTTTTTTCTTTTGACGAGAACAAAAGGTATACATAGGCTAAAGAAAAAGGAATGGTTTGATGTAGTAATTGTAAGCATTAAAAAAAAAAAAAAATTAACGATGATCAAAACAGAAGAAACTGTTTTGATTTTTTTAATACAATTCACAACATTTGGCTTTTTAACTGTATGTGTACGTAACAGTTAGAAACATCTTTTCTTGATTGTTTCAAAACAATATATGCTGCTGTTTTAATAGAGTAACTTGTATTGTTCTGAATCGATTTTTTTTTAATCAATTTAAAAGTTTTGTTTACAGTTTATTAGTTTATCAAAATACTCCAACAGATTGAGCCATTTATTCGAATATATTTTCAGATATTTTTATCTTGAACTTTTTATTTCAAAACTCATCTGTCTCCTCAATTTCTTCTCCATATAGCTCTTGAACGCACAACCTTATTTTAGATATTATTAATTGATCGACACATTTCAAGTTACCAAGAGCCACATAAACATTTTCCAATAGAACAGTTATGGGAAAAACTTCACGCAATCCTTGTCATGTTTACAATCTGAAGCTAAGATGCTTTCCACGGTAGAGTCGCATTCGCAATTGTTGTTAATACAACGGGCAGTGCCGCTGGCACACTCAATAGCTTGGCAGTCTGAGTCACTTTTACACGGCAAAAACACGGATCCATCTGCTCTCGATACAGCTGAAAATGACACACCTGCAAATATATTTACCACTGCATTAGCCACAATTTCAATACGTTACGAATTGTATTCGATCATCATGATGCATCTATAAAGAAAGAGTAGGGGAGAGACTAATCACAAGTTGCAATGAATAGAAGGAGGGCCAAGAATGTCATCTTGAAGAAAGCCTTCTCCATTTTTTTTTTTTTTGTGTTGGTGGAACCAGATGATTACAAGATATTTAACAAGATGATTATAGGTTTTATGTTTGCAGTGAAGCAAATGAGGCTCCTTTAGTCAATTTTTATAGCCAGGGGCATGGATAAAGAAATTAATGCTTGAAATATTTTGGTTTATATAAATGGCAAGTTGAAAATAACCAAGTACATGCATAAATATAGCAAGGAAATTACTATAATAAAACGTATGCATCATATCTATACTTTCCTTTTTTTAGATTTTTTTCTATTAATGGGTTGGGTCAAGTAGTCATTGGCATCTCAGATTTTTGTTTTAAAAAAATTCACACACTTAATGTGACGCCACGGGCTCTCTTACTTATTACCTAACAGGCGTGACCGGCGCGACACACTCGTTGGGACTAAGTCCCCTACTTCCTCCCACAACGAAACTAAACCATGGGAACGTATAATATAATTTACAACATTATTACGGATAGTTCTATAATTTAAAACATATTCAAAATGCCTAAAAATTTACAACCTAGGCCCGTACCCCTTTTTATTGACACAAAAGATATTCCTATTTTTATGAGTGACACATGAGCCTCTTTTAACGAGAACCGATAGCATCCTCGATCGGCTTAACTTTGCCTTTGCTTGAACAACACACAAATATAATAACGGAATGAGCCAAAGCTCGGTAAGTAGAGTGATGCACGTGATATGAAGTGTTATTGTGTTTCCCATATTTTCATCTATTTAATCCGAGTACCCTAGGTATATGCAAGTCCATGCACTCAATCTCTCGGTGATCGTGTTATTGCCTACTTGTTCTATTACTTTCTCTCGGTTATCTCAATATCACCTATCGCTCGCAACGGAATTATCCCTCGTTGTAGCACACGAGTTAACGAAATTATCCCTTGCTTAATGGTGTTAGTAAATAGAGCTCGCACTATGGATTCCTTGCTATTACCTAATCCACTCAATTCGGTTACCAAACCATGTCAATTCAAGACTCAATGATTTTTTTCAATTTATTTCCACCCCCAATGCACATGATGCACGTAATGACATGTTTAATCACATTCAACCAAACTCGGGTACCAACCCTTCTTTCTCAAGCCATACTCACGGTCCAACCATCACTCGGGATTCACTCGGCGCTCACATACCAATCATGGTACTCATAGCGGGAACACAACCTCCGCTCATTAATATTGTTTATTAGTTTCATTAATAATTAAAGAAGGTCCAATTCTTTTTTTTTTTCCTCTATGAAAGAATAAATTTTCTTTAAAATTTTAAAATCCTTTTTATTTCTATCTAAGTCCACTTATTTTAGCCTAAGCCCATTTTCGTTAGTCTAAGCCTATCTACTTTAAAACCAAGCCTTTTGATTTTAGTCCAAGTCCATTTCCAAGTTTATTTTATTTAAGTCCAAGCCCATTAACTTTAATCCAAGCCCAAGTCCATTTGTTTTAATCTAAGTCCATTTTATTTTTAAATCCAAGCCCATCTCATTTTAACTCAAGTCCAAGCCCATTTATTTTAATCCAAGTCCAAGTCCATTTGATTTAATCTAAGTCCACTTTATTTTTAAATCCAAGCCCATCTCATTTTAACTCAAGTCCAAGCCCATTAATATTAGTCTAAGCCCAAGTCCATTTATTTTAATCTAAGTCCACTTTATTTTTAAATCCAAGCCCATCTCATTTTAACTCAAGTCCAAGCCCATTTATTTTAATCCAAGTCCAAGTCCATTTGATTTAATCTAAGTCCACTTTATTTTTAAATCCAAGCCCATCTCATTTTAACTCAAGTCCAAGCCCATTAATATTAGTCAAAGCCCATTTATTTTAATCCAAGCCCAAGTCCATTTGTTTTAATCTAAGTCCACTTTATTTTTAAATCCAAGCCCATCTCATTTTAACTCAAGTCCAAGCCCATTTATTTTAATCCAAGTCCAAGTCCATTTGATTTAATCTAAGTCCACTTTATTTTTAAATCAAAGCCCATCTCATTTTAACTCAAGTCCAAGCCCATTTATTTTAATCCAAGCCCAAGTCCATTTATTTTAGTTTAAAATTTTCCAGCAGTGGCACACCTAAACAACCTATACCAAACCAGCCATAAATCCTTAAATATATATCTAAAACTCATAACATTTTAAGGGGAGATATTAGACATATAGATCAACAACTTTCATTCTTTAAGTTTCCTCCAAAAATCATTCTAAAATCCTTAAATAATTCACACAAGTTTCGGAACTAAATAAACTTTTCTAGTAGCTGGTCCATTCAACGACCCGTACCAAATCAGTCATAAATCCTTACATACAGATCTAAAAATCATGCAATTTTAGATACATATAGTAGACACATAGATGAACAACTTTCCTTCTTTGAGTTCTTCCCAAAAACCACTCTATGATCCCGAAATAAATCACACAACTTTCGGAATGAAATATTTTTCCAGTAGAGGTTCCATCCGAACGATCCATACCAATTCAGTCATAACTCCATATATATATATATCTCTAAAAGTCACGAAATTTTAAAGGAAAATAGTAGACACATATATCAACAACTTTCATTCTTTGCATTTGTTCTAAAAATCACTCTAAGATGCTGAAATAAATCATACCAAGTTCTGGTTTTTCCACCCCTAAAATCCGAAAATCTTCTCTTAAAGCACATTTCTCAACACACATGCTTAACCATCCATCATCAAACATCAAGTGTTTAAAATCATCACAAATACCATAATCACATTTCACATGAATTAAATAACTCATAAAATAAACATGGAAAGCATAAACAAAGCAAGAAAAAAAATGAAACCTACTTACATTGGATTAACTTTCCTAAAATCTCTTTTGCTTCCTTTTAGTTTCCCCTTCTTTTCCCTTCCCTTTTTTTCCTCTTTCTCCCCTCTCTTTGACTCTTTCTTTCTTGGTTTTAAGGCAGCTATGGGATGCACCAAAAATGCATCCTTATCCCATTTTTTCTTACTTAAATATCTCACCTAATCTCATCCATTCAATGTTCATTACAAGTGTCAAAAGCTTGTGGTGAAATGCAAGGTAAATATGGCTGAAATTAATGAAATGATGGGTTTAACTTTCAAGGAAGAAGAGGTGATGGTCAATGAAAATTTGTAGAAAGTAGGGGCTAAAATGTGATTAAATGAGGGTAATTAAATTAACTACATTTTCATAATTCCTCTCGAAATTTCGACAATTAGCACTTTCTCTTTTTTTTTTTAATTTATACTTATTCCATATAAAAGAAATTTTCTAACTAATTTACCCAACGTTTTTTTTTATATATAAATATTGACGTACACTCGTTACTCTCAAAAAATACGTACATACCACATATTCCAAGTACATATGTTGACTCGGTTACGATTTTCACGTACGTAACCGATAAACTATATATGTATATACGTACGAATATAAATATCTCAATACGTACATTTATACGATTATGGATTTTACGAGGGTTACACTTAAAGCTTCTAACAGAATTAATCCATTAGAATTTGAACTCATGACCTCTTATTATAAAAAATCACTATAAATAAACTACAAGCTAGCTCTTTATTATTGGCATCTTAGATTAGGCATAGTATAAGCAGGTATATAAAATGATGATGACCAGATATGTTGGGGTTAATGACAGTCTTGACATATAATGGTTTGGTGATAGCAGTAGGGTTTTTAAGGTGATATTGGTGATTGTTTTGGGCTTTGGAGTCATAAATTAGGATGCCTCTTGAAGACCTTTTCGGAGTTTCAGTCTGTATTGATCTTGGTATGGACTGAGACATAGGAATGGCAATGAGGCGGGACGGGGGCGGAAATGTCCTGAAACACTCTACCCTATCCCTGCACGAGGCAGGGGATGGGATCCTCGCAGGGCAATGGGGATCCCTGCGGAGCATTGGTGTCCCCTTTAATTTTTTGCTCTCGCTCTGCTTTATTCTACCTCATATTATCTTGTAGCAAATTTTAAACTATAGCAAAAAGATAATAGTCTATATAAAAAATATAATTAAGAAAGATAATAATTTAACATTATATTCAACTACGAGTTTACCACACAACTCATAATATATTAAATTATTTTTAATCGAATAAATAATATACTTAATTAAGTTGATGAAGTATCACAAATATAATTAAAAAATGTAAATTTTTACATATCGTTATTGTTTAGAGATTATCAAAACTCACTCATTATATTGAAGATTAATTTGTAGCATCGAGTTTATATATATATATATATATATATATGTGAGGTATCATTATAATTTTCAAAGAAAAAGTAAAATAGAAGTGGGTTAGCAAATATCATCTTCATCCTCATACTCTGTACAAAATTAATGCGAGCGCCCCACCCCAATCTTTAATCAACTAGGGAAATTTTCACATTGATCATGGTGGAGGGGAGCGGGGCACCATTGAGGCGAGCCAAATTAACATCCCTAAGCAGACAAGGTGTGTCAGAGGTGGTCGGTGCCTTGTGATGTTTGATTGTGTTGGGTATGTTAATCAAGACAGACATGCAGCTTGGTTCCGTAGGGATAGTTTGAGAGTATATCTTGGTGGGAGGTATTGGCTGAGTAGGCGTCTCCCCACCTTAGTCCAAGGAGTATTGTATACGAGGAGAATTATGTATTCAATGTATTAACAGTTGTTTGCTATGAATTCTGAATTATAATATTCTACTTGGATTCATATTTCAAAATTCTTTTTACAAATAATTTAAGATAAAAATGAGTTAATTTATGACTATGTTTTGCAAAAAAAATTCAAAATAATTTTTCTCAGTTAAAATTCACAAATCAAAAGTTAAAAGTTCAAATTTATAAAGCTAAAAAATCTAACCATTCCTAAACTTTAAGTCTAGAAAAACAAGAAATATATGGAAGGTGCAATCTGTTTTAATATTTGCAGTATTTCGATTTTGTTGCCAATATAAAAAGCTAAAATGGCCAAACGTTTTTTAAACTTTAATTTCATTTGAAAATTAATTTTTAAACTTTTAATTTGTGTTTTGATTTTCAGAATTTTATTTTATTTTTTAAGATTTAGTCCGTCTTATGATTTTCATCCATCACCCTTCTCTTTTAAAAAATTTAATTCTTGATATTTTGATCTGAAGTTTTACATATACTTTTAAAAAATTCAATTTTTTTTTTAAAAATAGAATCTCGGAGAGCTTCAAATAAATCTCATTGAATGATTTTTATTATGAAAATATTTATGTAATTATCATTTTTTTTTAGATAAATGACCAAAAATTGAAAGATAGACTAAACTTCAAAAAATAAAACATAAAGTTCAAAGATCAATTTATTACATCGACAGAACCAATGGACCACTCAGTTTCCTGATTTTTCTACTTGAGCTCCTTAGTTTTCACTTATGTTGTCACTTAAGGAGGATTGATCCACAGTACATGTGCATCTATTGGCAATGCAAGTGCAAAATGTTCCACAAGGGCAATTTTTGCCTACACAGTCTTGAGGTTTATTGCAACTGTATACAGGTATTGGGCCTCTTGCTGCTCCCAAATGTGAACCTACAACCGTACATTTTTTCAAAATATTACTCAACATAATATTCAATATACAGACTTTTTTTAAAATAAAAATAAAATTAAGCACCAAAATAATTAGAAAAAAGCATATATTAGTAGTTGAGAGAGAGAGAAGACTAACAAGATGCAGCCACCACTAACACGACCAGAAAAGCCAACTTGAAAGAAGAATTCTCCATTTTTTTCTCGATGTTGGTGTCTTGGTGAGGAAATGATTTAGTTTGCAAATGCCAATTGCTTTTGTTTTCTGCTCTGAATATTGCATAAGCTCTCCCTAATGCTATGTTATTTACGGGCGGGATTGCATGGCTTTAATGGAAGAAACATCCGAGAGTAATAATTATATGCTAGTTTTGGATATATTTTATACGTTACTTCATTTGGCTAATATAACAATCTTGATTTTTCGTCTATTATTGATTTTTTTCTTCCATAGCTTCAATATGATAGGTGTTGATGTTGATAATATAAATCTAGTTCATAGATTAATTTGCTTAGAATACTAGCTGTTTGGCAAAATTTAGATATATGAATTATAAATCTAATAATATCTCCAAATGATACGATTTTTATAAATCCAATCATAAAAAATAGGGGCAATGAATGGAGACACTGATAAATCTGACTCGATTTGCTTACTTATAAGTAATAATAATAATAATAGTAATAGTAATAGTAATAGTAATAGTAAAAATGGATACTTAGATTTATCAAATTCTATTCATAAGAAGAAACAAATTTTTCCCTAAATATTTATTTCCAAGTTTATTTCCAATGAATGACAAAGAGAAAGTGAGAAAGAAAATCCACGGACACCAAAACGGTCAAGATTTTCGGGGGAAAAAATCTAATAAAAGCATTGTTCTGAGGCTACGGAGGATCTCTGTGTTAACAATATCTGGCATTTATTTACAGAGATTTAAAGTATTGATTAGGCGAATAAGGCATGAAAATAAAATTTGATTTATTGCAGAGCTACTATATGCACGTATAAAGACCCCAAAATGATTTATTTGTAGGGTGCCAAAGCAATGGATCTCTCCAAACCCTATTTGCTTGTTGCCTGCACACTTCTCTATGTTTCTTTGCTTGTTGGTGGCCAATCTTCTGATGACTTTGAAATCAAGAAACCGGTCTCTTTTATTCCTGACGCTATAGAATCTCTCCAAAAGTCTTCTATGTCCGCCTATAATTGGGAGATAAAAAAAAAAGTTCCAACAGGCCCCAATCCCATAAAATCTCTGAAAATCCTATTTTTGATTTTTCACAGTGGGAGCTAAAAAGGCAGGTTCCTGGTGGTCCAGACCCCATGCCATCTCCTGAAACTCCTCCCGTTCATTCTTCAGAAACTTATTACTCTCAGCGGGAGGTAAGGAGAAAAGTTTCAAGAGGTTCAGACCCTAGAACATCCGAAAGTCCTTCTTTTGATTCTTCAGGTGTATATCACTCTCGATGGGGGCTAAAAAGACAGGTTCCTAGTGGTCCAGATCCCGAGACATCCCCTGGAACGCCTCCCTTTGACTCTTCAAGTTCTTATTACTCTCCATGGAAGCTAAAGAGAAAAGTTCTAAGAGGTTGAAATGTAAGATAAATTAAATATGTCAAAGCATGTCTACAAAGAAAAAATTAATAAAATATATATTTTCTATCATAATTGATTAAGTACAATTGTCGAAAAAAAGTTACACTATCATGAAGAAATAACCTTCTAATATGTGCCAACATGCCTTAATGAAAATTTCAGGTTTTACTTGATATTTATATGACAAAATTATGGATCACTTTTTTAACGATGAGAATTTTCCTCGATAAACCAACAAATTTTATCGCTATATTGGCTTAGCAATGAAAACAAATCATCACTCAAATACTTATCGCTAATTTTTTTAACAATGAAATAAAACATTAGTAGCTAATTAGTGATAGACATATTGTGGTTATTGTGATGTATTTTCGTCGTTATTTCGTTGTAAATAGTCGTATCATTCGGAGTGAAATCCATCGCTCTATAAAGACAAAAATTTGTTGCTAATTTCAATTGCTAATCTATCCTCGGTATCCGTCTCTATTCTTAGTATTTTTTTTTGTCGCTAAGTGTTTAATTATTATTTTTTTGGGTCATTAGGCGGTTGCAAATCCCTCGTTAAAATAACGATTTTTTTCATTTTGTTAATAGGTATTTAAATACTCCGTCGTAGTAGCCAACAACTAAAATAAAAATTATAATATGAAATGTTATTGAATAAAATTAAATGAATGTAAAATCCAATTTAATATATATCAATATCATTCGATATATGAATACATTAAAAAAATAATAATTTTAAAAAAAACTAGTCCTCATCAAGATCATTTGCTATTTCATCTTCGGGTCTTTGGGTATCGGGAGGAACTGCAGACTTCGGGTAGGGGAAGGGGGGTTAAAAGGAGGGGCGTGACTTTTTAGTGATTCCTCTAACGATCGCTCAACCCTATGCATCCACTACTCGCATAATCTAGTTTTTCACCTTGATTTTCTCTCTACCTCCTAGAGCTATAAAGTATAGTCATGTTGTACGTACTTTATCCAACTTTTGTTGGCATTGCTCATGATCCTACCGTATATGACTAAGGAAACGAGAAGTGGCGGAAGATGACTCGGCATAAAAATGTAAGTAATATTGGAATGTCCGTGATACTAAGCCGTACATTTTATGTTTTTTCTCCCCCTTATAGCCTCGAGATATATCCGTAATATGTTGACGGATGAAGATGATGAATTACCCTCTAGTCGTTAGCTAGCAAGCGACGTATATAATAGGTCCACGTGCTACTACGCAATCGAAAAAATTATAATATTAAACCATAAATATAATTTTTTAATTAAATTTGCATATGTATATTTAAAATAATAAAAAACTTATCCTAACTCGCTTGGGATCGCGGATCCACGTACTACCCATCCTAGCACCTATGAGTCCTCATGAATAACTCATAAAGATCTAAGTCACGACCAAACCTAACTCCTTTGTCTAAAAAAAGTAAAAATAAACAATATGAGATGTAATAAATTCAAATATTAGTTTATAAAGCAATAGATAATAGGTTTTATCATATGTTCAACGTGCTCGATCTATGAGATGGAGCCTCCCGTATGTCTAGATGGCCCAATATCGATACCATTCTTCTCGCTCATGCGGTTCTATGCCGCTCGCTTAGAATGAGCCCAAAACTAAAGTGTTTTCCAATCTTGCTCGCCATCCATCCCACACTAGTTGTGGGACAAATGAGGGCTTATTAGTCTTTTTTTGTAATCGGTTAGCAAGTCGGCATACCGCTTACATGTTAGATGCTCTCATCCAATCTTAACCAACAAGTTGATGGTTTCCTCTCATAAAAAATACTTTTACAAGGAAGAAAACAATTAATATTAGTACGTTTTATGCTACTAATTTAAATTTAATAAAAAAAATCAATAAAATGTTACTTTAAACTCATTCTAGCATAATTTTTTTTATCTCCTACAAGATTGACTTTCACATAGAGTCGACAGGATCCAATCGCTACTTAAAAATTATAGTGATCCGATAAACATACTTACGAGATGATATAAACTATCGAACACAATAAATAAAAAACCAATAAGTGAATTAATAATTCAAATAATTTACCAAAATATAAAACTAATTACCATATTTAAAACAAAGATAATTCTATTTGCAACTATAAACATATTGCTTACTTGTTGTAAATGACACAAATGGTCCGTTTAGCTTTAGACCTAAAAGTGTCACGGGAAGTAGAAGAAACCACCAATGCGACATTCGCTACTAGGCTTAGTCTTGGCCTAGGAGCATCTTGTATGGGAGCGAGGTTCGGGAGCAAATAGGGTCGGTACGGGCACTACCGCTTGTAATGCTATTGATGTTGATGTTAGTGATAGCGATGATGCTAAAATGTTGGCCATGTGTCCGTGATCAAAAGCATTACTATGGCCATGACACGGACATTAAATCTATTCGAACCGAATGCTAAGTGGTGACGACCCAAACCACGAGTCATTACACCTATAATATCACATTATATAATTTAATAAATATAACAAAATACAAAATTTTGATAGAGTCTCCTCTATAAATTGGACGTTTTCCAATTCCAAGAGACTCCACATGCACAAAAAACTACATATCCAAAAAACACAACACAACACGTACAAATATTTTCAATTAATCATCGTCACACAAACATCAATTAAAAGTCATATTCAAACAATCAAATACATCAATTTATGCATATCGAAACCAATACTTTTCTCGGATAATCCATTAAATTAAATCTCAAACTCATCATCTCAACTCTATTGTAGAGCATTGAACCAACCTTATTTTTTCTTAATTTTTAAAGGCCTCCTACTCCTCGTGTTCGATATGTTAAGGGGTATCTCGACACACTTTAACTATCATTAGTAAAATAAATGCAATATCAATTGTCAAAACTAACAAAAAAAATAAATTGATATATGGCATAAATTATAAATTGAGGTTTCGATAACTTACCTTGTGAGTTGGACTAGGCTGGAAAATTGCTAGAGTAGTTGGAGTGATTGCTTGGCAATGCTACTAACTAACTATAATAATTTTATATATAATTAATTAATATCATAGTTTATACAATAATTAATTATTTATCTACATCAAACAAATTTTAAAAAATTAATTTAGTAATTTTGAAATCTTAAGTTTAAATAATTAGATATTATGTCAATTTTAAAAGAACAATTTAATTTTAAAATTAATATGTTATTTTAAGTCTAATAATTTAATTATCAAATGACTCCATATGTATTTATAATCATTTTATAACAAATTACATACTCAAAATTTTATCCCGATTTATCAACACTCAAATCTAATTAATTCAAAAAAATTATAATAAATTAAAAATATACTTAATTAATTTTCAAATAATATAACTTGACTTTCTTAACATATTTACTAATAATTAATTACATATATATAAATGAAAAAAATTTCAAACACCTAAAAAAAGCAAAATCAAGAGTAATAAGAAAAACTCACACAAATTAAATATAAATTATGAATTAGTAGGAAAAAAAAACCTAATTGGGTTTCTCTTTTCGTAGAGAGAGAGAGAAAGATAGAGAAGGTAGATGAGGATCGAGAGAGAGGGTTGTTTTGGGAGAGAAGATGGTTGGAGTGACTAGAGCTTAATGGGGAGTGAAGAAGTGGTTTTATGAGGTGTTGTGGTAGGTGTTACAGGTGACGGTAAGGTTGAGAGGTGGCTACCACATGAGGATCAAAGGGAGAATGAAGAAGAAAATGAATAAGGAAAGGGGATTATGTCAATTTAAGGATTTAATTTTAACGATGGATGCGACTCCATCGCTAATCACCGATGAATATAAGTTTATCGCTGATTTTTGATTTCAAACAACCCCTATCTTTTTATTAAAAATAGCGATTGACATGATCCATCGTCGTTAGTGGTAAAGTTAGCGACGAACAACATCCATTATTGATTGGTGACAACATCAAGGGATTAGTGATAGAATATTCCCTTGCTAACCATACCCGAAAGAAAACCCAAAAATAATGACGGATTAAAAGATCCACCGATAAATGTCCTTGCAATTTTGTCGCTAATCTATCGCTGAAACAACCAAGAATATTTTATCATTTTATTTAATGACAAACCACGTTCATCGTGGACAATCCATCATAAATCAATCGATAGTCCGTCACAAATACCCATATTTCAATGGCATTCGTAAATTCTTCGTTAAACTCGTCGCTATTTAGCTACGGATTATAATCTGTTACTAATTGTGGTCGTTAAATTACAATTTTTCTATGGTGGATGTGTTTAGCCCACCACTAGAGTCCAATGGGCTCTTCTTCTAATTGTCACTTATAAATTTAAAATAAAACATGACATATGAGCCACACTCGTATATTTCTTACATTGTCCCACTTGGCTCGCATAAGATGACCCAAACAATGACAATTCTTTATATATTCTAGAATAGCTAGTAAGTGAAAACATTCATACTTAGATCAAGAATACAATATATCAGTCATAGCGATCATACTCTAAAATTAAGTTCCTCTCATGCATTGTAATACATTGCATTCTCAAAATAAGTACGTACTTAATGAGCAAAAAAAGCTTTATAAATGCACTCTAATAAGTCATTTGGATCTAACTTTATATATCTCAATGGATATAAAAATAATACTTTATGTGTAAAAAAATCACATCAATCTATAAGAATAACATAAAAACATCTAGACAACTAATGACAAAGAAAATAAAGATAAACAACAAATGAGTTAGTTAGCCTTTACGATTCACATAATCTTGATATTGTTTTGTCAACAATGCTTTAGTCATGGGATTTGTAATCATTAGATTAATGCTAATATACTCAACAAACACTTCATGCTCATACATTGTTTTTTTTTACAATGAGATATTTTATATCAATATGTTTATTTCGACTTTCGAGTCTTATTATTTTTAGAAAAAAGACTAAAATCGAATTATAATAATAAATCGTTGCTAGTTTGGATATAAAATTGA